CAAATTCTACATCTAAATAAGTGCACATTATCGCAGCTGAGGATGATTGCATAAACAAATTACCGCATTTTTAACATTCATACAAGCTAGAAGTATTCTTTGCATGCGTGGTTCAGCATTTCCATACTTCCATGATTTTATTTCCAAGCCAAATTGTATTCAACAAGCAAAGCACATATTCATCCGCGGGAATTAACGACATACCAAGCTTGCAGATTCAACACAAAGCTGCTTTTGAGTTGCCACAGCATTAAAAATAGCATCTGAAAAATTACTTGTGAAAAGTGATTTTCCATACATGAATAATTTAAACGGACAAATGGAATTTCATTAAAGTCTGTTTTCTTACCACCTCAAGCTGTATTTTGAGAAGATGTATGAAATTTAAAGACTTTTTAGAATATTAGGACAACGGCAATAGCAGTGAGAAGTTTAAGATCAGAGCAGCAGCTACATACCAGAAATGCTTGTGAAAACAAGCTACATTTCAAATGTCATTTTCCTGGCCTAAACAGTATTCCTCCTTACATTGATAAGTAATTACACAGTCAGATGTCACTTACGCTGAGTACTTATCTGACTACTTTGTCACGGTTCTAAGAGATTTTAAAGTTACTTCTCAGAGTCGTACTCATTTGGAGCTCTCCATAGGACTTAGCATATTTCACAAATCAGAACAAACGTTGAATGTTCCCTGGAAGTAGGGCAAGGAAAGCAGCGTTCAGAGGTGGGGTGAGGGGAGGAGCAGATACGTGGACAGCTTTATGACTGCTGTAAGTCACATGGTAGCGGCTCAATGGAAAGGGAAAACACTTGATAGGCAAGGAGAACATGCAGAAATGAAAAGTGGATGCAGCAGCAGGACCTGCTTGAGAACAGCTATCGAGTGCAAAATCAAGTGCAAAATCATGTAAAACTGGCCTTGGAAATGGTTTTGCTCTAACCTGAAAACAGCTCTTCTGACTTTAAGTAGTGGGGAAAACCACGACAGTTTTATATAACTAAATTATTCCCTGTCTGTTAAGCAATGACTCAAGTTCAGAACTTGTGACCTCATGAATGAGTCAGACAAAAGTATGGTTTAACTTATAGAATACTATTACTATGGTAACCATCAATAACAGGAATGTGACAGTTTAAGACCTGGTATAACAGATTTTGTAATCTAATTTTTCTGAAGTTTTCTTAGAAAAAGCTATCACATTTAGATTGATATTAATGAGAAATGTTTAAGTCGTGTTAAATAAATTATTTGACTGACTTGAAAAAGACATTGTGCTTCATCACATAATGGCTAACCACATAATGGCCTCAACCTGAGTGTACACGTGCTGGTGAGAGGCAAGATTACCAGCAGCTTTGAAGCAGACGTGCATAATGATCCCACCGTTCCTAAGAAACAAAAAATCAGGTAACAAATTCAGAGCTGTAGCATTACAGTGTGGAACGTGACTGCTGGAACTGAAGCATGCTTCTTTTCTGGATGACTTAAGCCATCTCTACATTATTAGATGTATTATTAGAATGTTATTGCATACCGTGTAACTTTGCATTGCTGTGTGTGGTTTTTCACAGAACTGACCATTCAAAAGTTGCTTACTGTGACCAAGGAACAGATGGTGAGGTCCGAGGCTCATCACTCTTCTGTAGTTACAGGGCAGCTTAAGTGTGGTTTGAAGACTCCAAAACAGGCATACAACTCCTAGGTCCATACAAGTTCAGCTTGGAGATGATGACATAGGCACTATGCCACTTTTCAGTTAAAATTTAGCTGTATCTGAGAAGTGCTCAATCTATCCTGTACAGTATTTTGACAGGAAATATGCTAAGTTCCAGTTCTTGAAGATTTAGTTGTAAAAGCATTTTAAAGACCACTACTTACTTCACTATTATTTGTTATATGTAATTATCTTGAAAAATAATGTGGAACAGTTAAGCACAATAGTGTACAAATATGATCTAAAGAAGTTCTCTTTTTACTTGAAGAGTATGAGTTTTCTCAAAAGTCAAAGCTTTTACAAAAGATAAGACTTTTATTTTTGAATCCACAAATAGATGGTAGTATAATTCAACAATTAAGCAAGTCCTACAGGGAATTTAGGATCTGGCCATTGCCCAGAGATGTCAAATACCGGCTTTACCTGTTCAAAATGAAAACAAAACTTTAGTACCTACAAAACTCAGAAGGAAGACTTTTTTGTGGTTGAGTGCAAAGAAAACAAATAATATCTTTCAAATTCTGCAAGCAGCCTTAACCAATGGGACTCAGTATCTATCAGCTTTTCCAGAATGCTGTAAAATTAGTGTAACAAAGAATGAATGGGAAGATATGTGACTAATGGCATGGATCTTTTACAGGTTTAGCTGTGCAGCAGTTATACAAAAGCAATTTAAGCATTACTAATGTCATGTCACTCATTTAAAAGAATACAGTAATACAGTATCAGCAAAAAAGTGTGAATACAATTTTTGAGTACAATTTAGGAGAATAGTGAGCAGCAGTATGAAAGAACATATTTAATATCTCATCCAGTGATAAACTAAGCACCACAACACCACTTAAAAAAAGTGCCACAAAACCATTAAAAAAAAAAAAAGCAAGTTGACAAACTCTGCCAGTTTTCCAGGCTGGAAAACATCCTTAAAAAATTATTTTTACTTTTTTTTTTTTCAATCACTTGACCACTACCCCTATACAGCCTCCAGCCTACAATTGGTCAGTTAAAGACAGGGCTGATCTCCCTACCTGCAGCAGACATGCTCACTGACTACGTGTTTTCTCAAGATGCTTCTACATTTTTAGTCACTGCACTGAGATTAAGAGTTCCTCCACTCAATCACTTCAGCAGTTTCAAGGGTGGTCATCCTGAATTAGATTAAACACGTATTTGCTATAATCAAGGATACACGTACAACAACTTGTACAAAGGTTACTTCTTACCGACAACATTGCTGGCAAATATCTTCATGGAAAGTCAAGTTATGGGATTTAATACAAGGATTAGCAGATGAAATTTACTACCATGTAGTATGAGGATGTTGTGGTATAAACTGGCAGCAGCTCAGCACCACATGGCCTGTGCTCACTGCCTCCCAAGTGGGATAACTGGAAACAAAATAGAGCTTGTGAGATGAGATAAAAGCTATTTACTAAGACAGAAAAGGAAAATGGAAACAAAAATGCAATTACAACTATATATATATATATATATATATATATATAAATTTTCATATATATAGCCACAGTGCAATTACTCTCTACCTGAAAACCCACACCTAGCAACACAACTACCTACCAACCAACTTCTCACTGACTGACGCCCAGCAACCCTCTATAACTATACTGCAGTAATAAAAAGCACAGCTGTCCTCCTTGTAGAATACTTGGATGTTACTGGCATGAGTGCTCAGGTATTATCAAGCTTATGATCATAATCTTTATTTATCAGGAGTGGGTCAGCGCCCAATTCAAAGCAGTTACAATGTTTTTTCTCTGTCGTTGTTAATGCTACGATTGCTAATGCTGTACCTTTTTTCCACCCTCTATATCATATTTTCCATAATGAGATGGTTACTGAGAGTACAAAGAAATAGCTGTATTTTCCACATTCTTCCTTGTAATTCTAATGATGCAACCATTTCTTTTTGACTAAGTCACTCTTCAACTACTTTATCTGAAATACAGCTGTTTTCAATTTTATGTTCACTTGTTACTGACCCATTAAACTTACCATTTCCCTGACTCTGCGCACGCATTCTTCACTGCCTGCTAGTTCTATGTAGGTCCTTTTTGTTGTTATGGTTTTTTTGCACATCTCCCTTTGCTCCCAGCTTTCCTATTCAGTGACTCCTTAAATTCCTACATTTCAGGGAATTTGGAAATGGGCAGAGATCAAGTTCTGCTAACTACTAGAGAAACAACTTTAGATGTTTTCCACTCTTTCTGTATCAACTAAGGCAACTTCTATCACATTTTTGTTCTTGAACATACTTCTGTGGTAAACAAAACATCAATATTTCTTCTGCATTTTAGTAGTACCTACACGTCTGTTCCATTACTAGGACTTTTAAGTGCTAGGACAATACCTTAATGTATTGTCCTATTTTGTCACCATGCAAGGCAAAAGCCTGCAGTCACCAGCTCCTTGCAACTTAAATGATAAATATTATCAGTCAATAAAATGTACTGTGCTAAAAAACACATTCTTTAGCATATTAAATATGATTTTGTAACTATAGTGAACAAAGGCAACATTTTCAAAAACTTCTCCACTGATCACAGACAAAGAATTTTAAATGAGTCCCTGAGCCCTATGCAAGAATGCCAACACACTTCCTTCAGAAGTTTCATCCAACATGTACAATGGTCTGCAATGGATTTGGATGCTCTTCAGCTCTCCTACAGGTTAACCTTCAATAACGGGAGTAATTAGATGCATTTAACATCTGTTACAAAGCCACTAACATGATTTTTTAAAGCTTTGTACCAAGACTTGAAGTAGTATTCCTGATCTGTCTCCAAGTTAATTAAATTGGGAGGGAAGACAAAAATGCCTTTTCCAAGTGAAATGTGTTTTGTAACTGCTTTCAGGGAAAATACTTCATGCTCTTTTCACACCTTCTCTTTTGAATCAGTATATTGTTGCCATGACCCTTGTGAAAGCCTCTATTATTGTTGCTTATCTATTCCCTAGATTCCAAGTAAATGCAGATGACCACAATGATCAGTATATTTCCAGATACCTGAGCGATGATAACCACAGTTTTTGCTTTAAGTGGTAAAAGACACTGATGTTACATGGCCGAGAACCATGTATGTTTCATAGAAACCCACCCTCCTAATTTTCAGCTTCAAAATCAGGGCCAAGGCCACTGGTTTGCCTTTGTATGACTACTGAACATACATTTAACAACCAGACATAGATCTATCCTTTTCCACAGCTAAATGAATATACTATTTGAATTCCTTCAGCATGAAGCAACACAGACCGACATTCAACTGTAAATTCAATTAAGAGCTTTAATCAAAGCACAGACAGCAGTGAATACCACATCCAGACTCCCCTCCCTCCAAAAAAAAAGATACAAAAATACTTCAAAAGTATTTTACAAATTTACAAATTGTAAATTTTACTTTTACAAATAATATACAAATGTTTTCCACTGCAAACCATATAATACATTTCTGTGTTACAGCTATTGTCTTCTTTTAGAATCGTGTCCAGAATTGTTCTCCTCAGAACACATTAGAGTAATTACCTCAAAAGTATAATAAATTTACTTGCAACTAGGGTAGTAACAGCTGAAGAAAATTATTCTAAAGATTCAGCTCTGGTTCTTTTGAACATCAACAAAGCAAGATTAAACACTCAAGTCAGTCAAACCTCCATGCACTGAAATTGATGCTATCATCATGCTTTGTTACTAACCTAGAGAGCACATAAGCTAATTTGAATCTCAGCATTTGGGACTGATTAACCCTTATCTTCAGATTTAGTGTTAAGAGAGATAAAAGCTCTTTAACAGCTCAGATATAAGAGACAATTTATCAGAAAAGGACAGTGTTCAGAATGTATTTTTTCCCTAAGCTGGTAGTATATAGAACTCTTTACATAGAACAAAACATCAGTAATAATGGTTTAATGAACAAAAACAAGAAACAAACAAACAAAAAAATCCAATACAAAACCAAACAAAGTAAAACCCCAAATTGCTGGCTGTTTTGCAGTCTCATTGAACGACACTGTTGTTCAGCTTGGTCAACCTGCTTCATGTCTGAAGGTCCTGCAAAGAAGGAAATACTCAGAATGCATGGGAGAAACCAAACCCCAAGTATTAAAGTCACCCAGAAAACAGTAACTGACCCTGCTCACTTTGTGGCACTGGCTTAGACAGGGACTCGGTTCTCCTTGGCCCACTTTTTCATGATGCGGATAATGTATTCCACTTGAGAATTACCAGTGCTTCTCAGGAGATGCAGTACTTCCCGCAGAGTCTCTCTACAAAGGTGGAAAGCAAAAATTTAAATGAAGGTAAGAATAAACTGATAAAATAAAGAAGCACTCATGTCCAAACTATTTTGTACAAGGTGGTTTGTAGGCAGAGAGATCCATTGATCTGCAGAGTAGAAACAGGCAAAAATGCACAATAGTTTAGATACCAAGGGAAACAAAACAGTGTCTTGTATGCAGTTGCAACAGGGAGAGACTTTTCATATATAAATCCCTACTCTTACAAGATAGTTCTCCAGAAAAAAACAAACCATTTTTCTTTAATGCTACTTACTTGCTAGTCTGGGTAAGGCAACATCTAGTTTAATGCTACCAAAGCACCTTACAACTTACTAATACATAAATAGCATGGAAACGAACTTACCAATAGAACAAACCCGTATGAAACTGCAGTTTCCTAGCTACTTTACAAGAACTTGTGTGCATAGAATAAAACAGGCAAGCTATGTATATTCTACTGCATCTATTGCAGCACTTGTCAAAAGGACACTTGAAGGGTGTACTGGTTAATGAGACTATTCCAGCACAGAAGGAAATACAAAGAATGTGTGGAAGCCAAGATACACACCTTCCAGTCATGTACAAAATGGCAACTTTGGCCAGGGGAGAATGGCCATCTGGCAACACAGTAGAATATTCACAAGGGAACTTAAATTCACAAGTTCTTAAATACAGCCTCACTGCTCTCTTTCTTCCGTTCAGTGAAATGGACCAAAAGCAAAATTGTCAGTAAAGCTGATTGTTTCCTTTAAGCTTTCATCAAATAAGTTCTTCTGACTGTCAGTTTTCAGAAAGTAAAGTTCAGCAAATTTTTCAGTCTCTCACTTAGTCATTGTTTAGAGAACCCACATCCTTCCTCAAGTGCTGAGTAACTGCTCTCTGATTTCTGTTCTATGAATCTTAAACTTTCATGGGACAGTTTTCCATTCTTAGGCCATCAACACGAAATGAGGACTTTTCCCTCAGGACAAATACATTACATTTATAACTTAGATCTTACTATCATAATGACCAGTATACTTTGGTTGCCTGCATTTAGCCATTCACTGATAAGACATTCTCTACCATATATTTTCATACCTGTTGTGGAAGATGCAATTCAAATTGAACACTTTATATGGATCCACTGGCCAGAGTTTCTATTCTCCAACAGGTCAGTAAGTATTTGAAATAAATAACTGCTCCCAAAACTAAGATTAAGATTTTAGCTTACAGCTAATCGGAATTAGGAAAATTGCAAAAAAAAAAAAAGAACACTTACTTTGCTTCTCGGCCAGCTAAGATCATTTGAAAGACACCAACACAAGCACCTCTCTTGCCTTCCCAGTATTCAGGATTACTGTCCAGTCTCTCCAGCACATCAAATGCTTTGGCTGCGTAGTAAAACTGACGCATCTGCACAAGAAGAGAATCACTGCATGTTCCTGGCTATATGACCATCTTTCGGAAAAGGATTAAAACTTTTGAGTTCAGCTTTCTGAAATCAGCAGTAAGCCACAGAAGCAATGTGCATATATCCTTCCATTTTTCTTCTGGCAGCAAGTGACAGAACAGGTACATTTCAGTTCTATGTATGGAAATGGTTGGTATTAACATTACTGCTACATGTCTTTGAAAATATAGACAAATCGCACTGTGAACTTCTATTAATTGGTTATGATCAGCACTGTTCTTTCGATCATATACATTTAACAAAAGCTAACAGAGTTTCTTACCCACTTTTACTTTTTCCCTCCAAATCAGCATTTTAACTTTAAAGTATGAGTTGCCCTATATACAGTAATATCTACTGTACCAAAGTCCTTGATACAACATCGACTCAAATTAGAATAACAGAATCATTAAGATTGAAAAAGACCTCTAAATTAATGAAGTCCAACCACCACTAGTCCAAAACAATCCTAATATTTTAAAACACAACCTGTTTTTCTCACACAGAGATGGTCACAGAGGTGGATCTGTATGTGTTTTGGATTAAACTCAGAGCTAAATTTTACATTTCACTGTACCGTATGAATTAAGATTTGGTGATTCTATACAAAAAAATTTTCTTCAGCATAGGAAAACTGACTACGTACCATATCTTTTCTGCCTTAGACTCTCTACTTGTAAGTGGGAACAAGGAGCAAGAGCCTTATCTATGACTGAATATTTTTCAGTTTAGCAAGCCTGAGTAGCAATGTTGTTTGTGGCTAGCATCCTTCAAGAGGAGAACACAGAAGATAAACATCCTTTGGTGTCTGGAAGCCTGTCCTTTTTTCTCAGCAGATGCAGGCTGTGGGTGTTATATTGGGATACTTAGAGAAGTACAGGTACTGCACAATGAGTAATAATTCCTTTTTCTTCAGGCGCATGGTAATGTTAACCACAGGTGACTGGCAAGCACTTAAATGAATGGGAATAAAGATAGTGAGTATAAACAGACATCTCAGCTCAGAATACACTGAACAGTGATCTCTCCAAAGTGGCATCTGATGTAGTTCCATTAAGCAGATACCAATTTAAAGTCCTATTTCTACCTCACATAAAAGCAAGAATTGCTTCAATTCTTCCAAATTCTCTGCTGCTTCCTATATGAATGGATAAAATGGTATATTCCATGAAAAATAAGTTAGAAATTAGCCAGAAGTCTTGCATACTAGATTCCTCAAGCAACTGCTATCAAAACAGACAGCAGTTGGGCATCTAGCTATACCTAGTCTCACACAGCTGTTAGCCTTGCTAAACCATATTCTTTCAGCATTCTGTTGAATGAAGTCTTGCATGACTGCTTAAGTTACAGTTATGATGGAGTTTGCAGACTGACCTCCAGTATAATACAATATTTCAGAAACAACTGGATAATGTTACATAAATTCAACAATATACTGCAATTGCCAATTAGTGGGAGAAGTGAACACAGCTAATATTATAGAAAGACAAGTTATACTGCATTAATTACATAGCTTTTGAAATGAAATTCCTTGCTCATTTGTGGCCATGTGTAGCCATAAATACCCTGAAAAAATTTAGGCAATTTTTAAGAGCTTTAGGTAAATCCAAAGCGTGGAGCTGCCTCTCCTATAGTACACAATATGGTTTTGAGAAGAATTTAGTAGAAGTAATCAACTGATAAAAGTGAGACTTAATATAGCCTAGAGACAAATTTTACGTAAGATATGATTTTCAGCTTGCTTTGATAAATTGCAGCCAGGGGAAATACCAGAGGTGACAGCCACCTGCTTGAGCAAAAAAAGAGCACTCTGTGCCTAACTAATCTGGTGGCCTTCTACGATGGAGTGACAGCACTGGTAGACAAAAGAAGGGAACTGACGTATCCCTGTCTTGATCTTTGACAAGGTTCCATACCACAAGGCCAAGTGCAAACTGCTGATGCTCAGAAGGTTAGAACATCACATGAAGAAAGGTTGAGGAAGATGGCTTACTTAGCCTGGAGAAGAGAAGGATCCATAGAACCTCACTGCGGCTTTGCAGTACTTGAGGGGAGCTTAGAAGCAGGAGGGAGACTGACTTTTTACATGGTCTGATAGTGATAGGACAAGGGGCAATGGCTTTTAACTAAAAGAGGGGAGATTTAGGTTAGGAGTTAGGCAGAAATTCTTTACTCAGAGTGGCAAGGCACTGGCACAAGCTGCCCAGAGAAGCTGAAGGTGTCCCATCCCTGGAAGCATTCAAGGCCAGGCTGGATGGTGTCCTGGGCAGCCTGAGCTGGTGGGTGGCAGCCCTGCCCACAACTAGCACAGCTAGGTTGGAACAAGATGATCATTAAGGTCCCTATCTAAGCCATTCTATGGTGAATGAAATACTTAGAGAGTATCCTTTTCGTTTTAGAGGAACGCTTACAAGACCACAAAGTTGATTTTCTGATTTACAGTTATGAGTTGTTTAGGATTTTGAGAAATGTTACTTTGTCAAATGAAATAGCAAAAAAGAATGTTATAGAGAGCATGCAGGTATTTATATTTGCTGCTCTTTGGAAAGCTTGGTTGAACTGAGAATTTTTTAAAGGTTTTCAACAAGACTCAGTTCACTGTCCTCCATGACGCCAAGTTTGGTCACTGTTTTTCTAATAAGCCTACACTAACAGCAACTAACTCTTGTTCACTCACTTAAATTAGGAGTCTTCATTGAACAAATTCTTCAAGAATTGCACCCGTTCTGCTTTTCTCACATCTGCCTGAAAGCAGTGAACTATTCTGTTTTCCAATCACAGATCATTTTTTCTTTCTTCTATGGCATCATTTACAACCCTCTCAAACCAGCAGGTCCTTACATCTCTACATTCATCCTGCAGACAAAGCTCACATTTTCTATTACACATTTTGCAGAACAGGATCAAACTTGAATCCAAGCTAAGTCTCCTTGTGTAGAAACACCATCTGAAGAATTAGATATTAGGAATTGAGACAGAACTGTAATCAGCTTCCCATGTTCTCTTCACTACTAACACAGCATTTTATGAACTATAAAGTGTGGAATAAACTATTGTTATCAACAGATCATGCAGTAGTTTGCTGGTATTTTAGTTATTGGATTATCTACCAAGAAGACCCATAGGTTAAAATGCTGACTAAGCCTTGCCAATTTATCTACATTAATAACCATACCCCTGTTATAAGTGGAAGTTCAGTACTAATGACAAAGATGAGAAGAATTAATTAAAAAAAAAAAAAAAAAAAAAGGTTGTTAATGCAATTGCCTAATTAACATGCTGTACACTAAATTCCAAAGCATCCAGATGCAGAATCATGGAAAAGCTCTGATCCAGCTTTTTTTTTTAAAGAAGACTCACTTTGTAGCAATCATTTGCAATGAGCTGCAATAGGTTAAAGGATTCTGCTGAGGTCTCCATCTTCAGATAGAGCTTCCAGGCCAACTGTGGTTTCTTATTCATAATATCTGTAATAATGACAAAAACTTGGGATCATTAAAAGAACCTGCCATGCACAATACTCAGTGCAAAGGTGGAATAAATGTTTCTGAATTTCATTGTCAATGTAAATGCATTCCTTGCCCTGTAAGCATGAAGTTGGGAAGAGAAATGCATCCTTATCCTTTCCCTTCCTAGTGATAACAGCAATTCATCAGAGAACATTAATAATTATGGAGTATACATCTCACTTTGTATTTCACAGGTATGGCAACAAGCACAGCTCATATGATTTCAGAAGTGAATAAGCAATAAAACAAAGTATTATAGAAGGTTTTTATGCAGGACAATTAACTGGGCAATCAATTTAGATGTTGAAATTTAGTATTTTGTGTTCTTATGCACTTAAAGATTTTAACGTGCTGAAATAAGGTCTTTGATAATTGGTGCCCACCTCAATCTAAACAATGAATTCCCACGGTTCACGGAAAACCAAAGGACTGATAGAATAAAATAAAAGCTCCTATATCCTACAGGCATAATAAAATGTGTCATTATGATCTACTAGAAAAAAAAAGAGTCCAAATTCCTGAGATCTCATCCTAGTTTTAAATCTTAATTTATGACTGGGAATTTTCATTGGCTTTCAAGCTGTTCATACACAATTTGAAACAAAAGAAACCAAATCTTCCATCTCAGCCAGTGAAAATGTCTATTAGCACATTTGAATATACAGAATTCTAAAAATTGGTTTTATGAAGATAAGGACCACGCTGTTAATGTGAGGCTTACATTGTTACTTCTGGACACATTCGAGTACTAGGAGAAAAGAAAAGGAAGTATTTCTTTCTTTTTTGTGTCCCATCAGCTACTCACAGAGTAGATGGTTGCTTGTACATGGAGAGCTCTCAATGCTTTTTCAAAAGAGGGACTGTTCAGCTTTTCATATTTGTTCCCACTGTGCCAATACATATGTTGCAGTAGAATGAGCAGGAATCATCAACAATAAGCAGCCAATATAAAAACACAGGATGTTCTTATTTAGGAAGCAGTATAAAGTTTCATCAGCTCTGGATAACATAGGCAACAGCAAACAGCCAGGACCTAATTTCCACATACAAACCCATCTACCTGGAGAAATGGACTACTGTGCTCATTCAATGGCTTTTTACCTCCTCTTCAGGAAGAATTTGATGTAAATGGAGCAACAACCTCAAACAAAAAAACTTATTGTCTAGCTTCCAAAAAAAGATGCATCTTCAGTGCTTTCTTTCCTTTGGAGATATTTCAGGATTGAATTGTGTATGACTCAAGACCTAATCATGCTCTGACATAAATGAATTAGAATGCCCTGTAATTTCCTTTCAGCTTTTATCCAGAAGGATATAATAGTAATTTATAAACTTGACAAAAAAAGATCAGTATACTCATCAATGAACAGTTCCTTATGCAAAAAATTCTAGAAGCTGTTTGGAATGAAAAATGAAAAATTTAAGATAGTTATGAAGAATATAGCACCTCTACTGAAACTTCAGGAGGAGTTCAGAATGCTGAGGCACACCTGAGAATAAATAGCAACTTTTATGAAATTGCCACAAAATTTATAATTGATATTATAGTGTTAATTCTACCTCTTGTAGAAAAGTTTGTGTATTCAGAGTACTGCACTTCCAGAGGTATGTCAAAGAACTACTGTAGCACAAAATCAAAAGGATGAACAGTCTACTGAACAAGCATGAATTCCCTTAGCCATGGGAGTACATGGAATTGTACAGACCCTTGTGTCTGACCCAGTATTGCTGCTCCTATTTTATGTTTTACTCTGAACATTTTAAAGTTTTAATGCAGTCTTTCAAGACAGGAAATCCTCACTCAAGCAACTGAGTAGACAATTGAGAAGAAAAATGTTTGCTGGTTAGGACAAAACTGCATGGACAGAACCATAACAGCATTGAAGCTGTAACTGCTTAGCGAAGCCAGACATATGAAAGGTGCAATAACCACCCACACTATAATGAGTGCACAGCTTTTCACTTTTAAAGTCCTGAATCCACCTACAACATTACATTCAATTAGGAAAGTGGATTGCCAAGACTGATGCAATAGAGGAGGATCTGTATTCTGTTGAGAGTAAAGTGACTCACAGCAGCGAGCCAGCCAGCTAAGGTAAACAAAATCATTCTTTATCTTCTCACTCTGGATCAAAAGGAACACCTGCAGGAAGAAGGAAAATAAAAGATTATATATATGCACGTACTTTTAAACAAACACAAAGCAGACCTGCCTAGTTTCAACATGCAGGTAAGGCTTAAGCCATGCAACAATGGCTTCATGAGAAGACTGAGTTTGCAACTGTAGTACAGCGGCATATTGCTATGTTGGGTAGGTGGAGGACTGAAATAGTGCAATGCTTATCAAGGGACTGCTGCAGCTTCGAAATGCCAAGCTGTGCAGAGGGTGTGGACTACTCTGAACAAGTGCCAATAAGTGGCCATGAAACTCAGAGAGCACAAAGGAACACTGGGCCTGTGGGAAAAAGTATTTGGAACTTGTTTGTTTAGAAAGCAATGCATGCAATTTAATTAGCATCATCCTGAAATACCAGAAGTTTCACTATATATATATGAGTCTTTCTTCCCCATATGTGTCAGAGTTCATTTTAGGTGAGCAAGAAGCCTTTTCTTACCCTTTTGCTTTCAGTAAGGTTCTGAGGCAAAACATTAGTCTTTTGTAACTTACTTACATGCAAACACAGGCTTATTACATTCTGCATCTAAAGGGGTATGAGTGGGAGAAGTGATGCATTTTGAAATGTACTCCGGCTTTATGCACAGAAAAAAAACCCGACAACTATGTATGCCTTTTTGCAGGTGTATCTGGGACTATACTCGGGATGCTTCTGGCAAAAAAAAAAATAAAAATCTTTAAAGGAACAGATGTAATATGTACTGAAATTGTGAGTGCCACAGAAATAAAGAGCTCTGTTGCGAAGAGACTCAAAGAGTTAGAAAAAATTAGAAAGGAGAAAACCAAAAAACAAAACAAAGCTAAACCTCCACTCCAGACTATTTGTTTTATTTTTTTCTGGTTTGTATTCTGATAGCCTTGTGGAAAACATAGCTTCCATTTTCATAATAGCTATTTGCTTCTGCATATTTTTGCTGTAATTAAGTTTCTACTGCACATAGACAAAAAAAAATGCTCTGTGTAGAAGTTAATCTCTTCCAGCTGTATCTGGATGCTGCTGAATAAGATAGTGAGCACTTCCTCTTCTCCTCCCACATCTCCCCAAGGAAGAAAATGTGTTTTTTGTTGTTGCATGCTTTTTTTTTTTTTAAACACAAATTTCTAGGGACACCTAGCAGCTCTTAACTATACAGTGTCTTTTACTCAGAACGCTCTTGTCGGGAACAATAGGACTGCCTGAGATCCCAGACAAAGTGTAGGAAATCTAATTAAGAAGGCATTCTTTGATCAATTAGAGAGAGCTGCAAGCACTCCTGTGACGCACCACAAGCTGCATGACTCTCCATACACCTCGTATTACAAGATTAGCAAGATAATCTTTTTTGAACAGTGTTCACTGTGAGTTTCAGTTCCTTTACGAATGTTCCACACAGTCTAATTACTGGCAACCAAAATGAAGGTGTAGATGGAAAAAAAAAAGAAGAAAAAAAGGAAGAAAACAGGAGTACGAGGGAAACATTGCTATTGTCATTTTTTAAAGAAAGTAAAAACATACCTCTTCAGCTTCACTAAAAAGGCCCATGGAAGCTTTGGCTTGGGCGTAGTTGAAGTTAAAAGTGTCATCATTGTAAAAGTAACTCTGGTAAAAAAAAGCCACACAGAAAGAAAGAAAAAAACTCAAATGGCGTAATAAGATTAAAAATAACATCCCACCCCAACTCTGAGTCAACAACAATCAAGAACAACAGGAAGGATAAAAGAAAAACCCACATTATGAACATACGACATTTATAAGCAGTGGGTAGAAAATTATGGACTGGATTTCCATCCTATATTTGTGACTACAAACACAGCCGGAACATTCCACAGTATTAACCATGAGATATCTGGAAAATACTCCATGCTCTAAATTGCAGTGGCAGCTTTTATGGGCGTAATTTTCACTTCGGTCATGTGAAGACATGCTGTTCTGCCATGGTCTCTTTCACCTCCCAAACACTTACTTCACCACGAGAGCACTAAATAAGTAGCTGACTCCCTAAAGGCTTAAGGAGATGAACAGTTTGTTTTTCCAAGACTACTCAAGAAGTTCAACAAGACATCCTGTGGATCTGGTTATGTGACAGATACTAATCTGAAACACTGGATCACATGAAAGAGGTGGAGATGCCGTGCCAGGCTGTAGCCAGAGAGCATACGTTGTAATAGGGCTTTCCTAAGCTCAAGACTTGCTTACAGGGAACCCTTCTCTTAGTGCAGTACTAAGCTGTTCTCTCCTGTGATATCAGACAGGACACACTTGGTTAATGAGAGATCAGGTTCATCTGGCTGCATCTCTTCTGAAACACTGCATAGGCCAAAGCAGGAAATAAATTTCTAGATACAGATTAGCCTGATGTTTGGATTTGACCCAAAGAGCTTAGATTTGATCATAGTCAGATGTCCAGATTAAAGTATAATTAAAATGACCAAAGTTAGCTGAGGATATTCTGCATTCGGTACTGTCACCACACTGCCTCACAGGCAGATCTGATACAGGTAAACTGGATCACAATACCATAGCAACAAGCAGGAATGAGACTGAGGATCTCTGCCAAGCAGAGGTACAGTGCTTGTGAAAGAACCTAGGAAAAAATGCGGATGGTTTATCTGGTGTCCATGGTTATCACAAGGAAAGCTTTCTGGGTACACAAAAGCAAATTGTTGGAAAAATAATGTTTTTCCTTATATAGCATCTATAAGAGAAACAGTATATTAGGAAGATTAGCTAACTTTGGTTTGCTCCCTCATTAAGAGTGAGGAGGAAGTGAAAAGCATAGCTAGGACTGTATAAAGATATGTAAAGCAAGGGACAAGACCCTTTGCCAGGGCTCTCTGTCTTCTGTCTTTATGTAGAGATGCTTGAGGAGCCTCATCCCTTCCCTGTCACAAGCAGTCACAAAGACCGAGCCCACCCACATAGATCTAGCCACCACCTTGAGAGAAGAGGTGAGAAGTTGTCAGCAGTTGCCAGATGTCTAGCTTTCACCTAAATAATCTATGCTAAGGTCCAAAGGAGCTGGCAAATACAGCAAGCTCTGTGAACGCACGAGGATGAACCAATTGGGGGAATCTCAAACTAAGTCTGTGCAAACATTTCAGTACCCTTAGGATGAATTAACTGGTTTCACCAAATGAGAATTACAACACTTCACTGTATTTTTCCTCAATGATAGTTTTGTGTGAATCAGCACAAGTCTCAGGTTAAGCAAAGCTGGTAAGCTAGATGCTGGTTTTACTGCATGAATAGCTCCTTCTGTTCAAATACCCTCCATTGTATTTTTGAATTAAAACTGAAAAGAAGCTCTGTCAGTAACCAAACTCAAAAACTGTCATTCTATCTTGGCTGTATTAATGCCAGAGACCAGAACTGCTGCAAAAACAAGACTAGTAGAAATGGACCCGTTTTGCAAGATATTCAGGGCAGCTACATGGTTTTGGTTTTTTTTCAGTCATTGGACTTCACTCTTTTGTGGTCTTTTTACTGGCTTTCAGTCTTTGTATTAAACTGTGCTCTGAGTGACATTTATTCCAGTGAGGCGCTCAGATACTCAGCTGAACAACGAAGCATTCGTTGTGGCCAGAACTCGGCTGAGCTTGAATTATCTTGTCTTCTCAGATGATCTTCAGTGCTACGTCATTCCCAGAGCAGCTGGTCATACATTTATAATAAGTGTCCTTTGAGACACTCTCATGCCTTAAGGTTTTTTAATCAATCATAGATGAAGGTGGTATTTCCCATAACTGTGATGCAAACATGTCTTCAGAGAGTGCACAGCTCTACATAAAGAGTAGCAGAGATTGTACTGAAGTTTATTTCTGTCAATAAGAAAACAAAAAGGTGACTGAAAAGCCACCTAATCCTGCTCTGTAAAATGGTACAAGAACTACTTGCATTCCCATGGCCTAACTAAATCTGACCAGTGGCTAGATTCTGCTAGAACTGTTGAGTATCATCTACCCTCAAATGGACCGTGCAAGGAAAGCAGTAGTAGGCAGAAGGCATCTGTCCTTAGTCCTTGCTTTTTATCAGCACCATTATGCCTGAGTGCCAGTATCTATAAACCCTTCCAAGAACTTAACAGATACATTTTTTACTAGGCTTGATCATTTTGATACAACCTATAAACCCTTCCAAAACCTTGCAACTCAAGGATGAGCCATGACAATAAGTTTGATAAACCATATGCTTTAAGGGACAAAATTAATTTGCTTTGAAAAGATGTTGTGAGTTTACTGTAATTCCAGCAAGCCATATATTGTTTTCAATACAGATCAAATATAGGTTTCAAACCTACCTGGTTTATTCTAATCTTCATTTTGTATCACTTTGGTTTCTTACCAATCTTCATTATGACTAATTTCAGTTTCTTACATTTCTATAGCAAATAATACCTATCTTCTAAATCTCTTCAGACAGTATTTCAATTTCTAAGAATTCCCTGAATTACTTTTCTTTCTGTATTGCAGAAGGGAGGGTCCCAAATATTTCAAATAAGAGTAAACTGTATACCACCATGCAACTAAATGCATCAATTGTTTTTCTATTGACCTTTCTTTTCTAGCTTAATATTTTGTTTAATTCTTATAACACATTCACTTTACAATCGTGAAAACTGAAGGAATGCTAAGAAAGGTTATCTTTGCCTAAAAATGTTTCAAAACAGGTATGTGGTTAAAAATAGGCATGGACAACACTGTTTCCTGTATGTAGAATATACTGCTGTACACTCTTCTTCTCTGATGATTGATTCTGGCAAACTACTATTATGAATGGAAAAGTTCAGTTGCAAACAAAGATCCACTTACATATAACACGTAACAGTAGTTTTCATACTTTCAGTAGAACAGCTAATTTAAAAAAAACAAAAAAAAAACACCAAAAACACTGAATATTTTGTTCTTCCTTTTTTTACCCTTCAGACTTTCTTTCCAACCTTTTCTATACCATTTTCCTTTATACCCTCACAAACAGAACTGCCTCACCAAATGCCCTCAGTTTAGTACTTCTCTTATCTCATGACTTTGTCCTATCCATTCATTGCCCTATTGCCCACTTTCACCCTCTTAATTTCTGTTGAGTGTCTTGCTCACTTCTGACACTTTCCTTTACAAATGCTAACCACGCTTTACTTTCCAATATTAATGATTACTCCTTTTGCTTCCCCAGATGCTAGTATACTCTCTTTTCTAAGCTTTCCAGTATACACTGTCAGTGATGATTAATCTCATTTAACTTTGGCCTTTCCAGGTTAGAACTAGTTGTTAAAGAGCTGTGCATATCTTTGTGGTGACTCATTCCGTTTAAGATAACTATAAGAAGTTGTCATATGTCCATATTGGCTATATGCTGACACAAGATGATCAGTTTCAACTAGAAATCTAACTCTTAGATGGCCTAAGTTAAGCAAATCTCACTGATAGTTTCTACTGCTCCTTTTCTTCAATTAAATACACACTTCAATTTAGGGTAATAGGTATCTTTTCATCCCACTATAGTGGAGCCATTCCACTTGCTACAGCCACTTGGGATTTCCTCATTGACCTCTCCCCTGTTATAGTTTAAAAACATCACACTTCTGTCATACTTCACCCATGCTTTGGCATGATTACAACCATACACATATTCCTTAGGTCTCCCCTCCCTTAGAACATCATAGCTCTCTTCCCATCTAGTGCATTTCCCACATTGCTTCTTTTCAGATTCTCATTCCTCTTCTTATCAAATACAGATTTCTTACTACTCTTGTATACAATCACTGGAACAAGACTGCAATCTGGGGAGATCTCATTGTGGCCTTCCAATACTTGAAGGGAACATATAAACAGGAGCGAGAATGGCCGTTTACAAGAATGAATTGTGATAGGACAAGGGGGAATGCTTTTAAATTGAGACAGGGAAGGTTTAGGTTAGATATGAGGAGGAAGTTTTTCACTCAGAGGTGGTGATGCACTGGAACAGGTTGCCCAAGGAGGTTGTGGATGCTCCATCCCTGGAGGCATTCAAGGCCAGGCTGGATGTGGCTCTGGGCAGCCTGGTCTGCTGGTTGGAGACCCTGCACATAGCAGGGGGTTGAAACTGGATGATCACTGTGGTCCTTTTCAACCCAGGCCATTCTGTGATTCTATGATCAGACTACAACCTATCTCTGGATCCTCACATCTGATTTATAAGTAAATAACTGTAAGTTACAGTCATTTCAATCCATTGAATGCAAGAGATGTGACAGCATTGCATTTTGGTAACTGTAAATTCCTCTCACTTTGAAAAATGCAATACTACCTATAGGATGCCACTCAAATTGCTTCTGTAAAAATAGCACTCTTAGCTTTCTGCTTTGGTAACACTGCCCTATCTTAACCCATCAGTGACTGCTTTCTCTTTAAAATTCAAGCTTTATTACTTCCACGATCCTTCTTGTCTTATCTTCCTTACACACTCATGCTCATCATACTTGCGTTCCAAGTTAACTAGTGACAAAAATCTCCATCACTCATTTGATAAATATTTAAACAAACATTCGTTTTTTAATTCCACACTGATACAAATTAGTTAATTGCAATTAGTTAATATTTTGTTTAATTCTTAGTTAGATAGTTAATAGCTAACTTTCTCTTCTCTTTTGATGCCACCAGAAAGTCTGATATTGGTTAAATTGTAGGTTGAAACCATCTTGTCCACCATGCTGCACAATGCTACCTTATGAACTGCTCTCATACATTTGGATCCATTTCCTGTATTGACCAACTATGTAGCACTGTTGTTCCTGTGTTTCTATTATGTTTCTGCATCTTCTTCTGTCTTATACAGTATAGCATAATTCCATAGGTAGTGATTCTATGTATTATAGTACTACCAGTGCTACATAATAATACTAACCTTGACTGAGTTGAGGTAAATCAGGACATTAGCAAACTGTCTAAGAAGAAAGAAGCAGGAGGCCATGCACTGTCTCCCTGGAATGGTATCTGAAATTCAAAAGAGAAACACACATTAGTAGAATTTAAAAATTACGTGGTAATGGAGGTCGCTGCCAAGATTGCTGGCAGCTATGAAAGCAACTAACTTCTAAAAATAATGTAACTTGCCTTTTCAGGCAAAGCAGTACACTGGAGGTTAGAAAAGCTATTAGATCATCTTGTCAACTTTCTCTACAGCATACAATAACTATCACAGATTGTATTCAAAAGCACATTCTACAGAAATAAATTGCTTAAGTAATAGGACTTTTTCCATGACAAAATCCACGCAGCATTGTTTTACTACGAATTATTCTTACTTTTAGGAAACAACTTTTGATCTGAGTTTGTTATTCTGACCTCATACTCTTTTGCTTTAGAATTACACTCTTCAGTTATCCCAGACAAAGCAGCTCTATATATTCTGATTTTAGTTCCAGTAAGAGAGCAAACTTCAGACACCAAGAACATTACCAAAAAGTTTCGATACATGCACAAGTTAAAATACAGCAAGAATGTTATTTTTCACACAGTTGGGTTACTACATTGCTCACAAGTGATAATATCATAAATAAGCTGGGCAGATAAGCGCAAATGAGTGCCAGTAGGATCTTTTTTTAAGAGTTTACTAGAACAATTTTTTTTTCCTTAGACTCAGCCAGTAGCAAGTGGTCAGAGATGGATGGATCCAAGTAGCAGCCACGAAGGCAATATTCCAAGGTCGTTAGAGAAGCGTGCTGTTCTGTAGTGGTTGGTGAAGTGACAGAAACTAAAATCCTAAGATTACCAACAGCCCTGAAGTAATTGCTCTTTTAGGTAAGTTATCATCAATCCATCCACACTAGAAAATTGTATCTGAAGAACAATACTTTGACTGCAAGACAGCACTACGCGTAGCATTCCACTAGAATTCCACTGTAAATTTTGCTTTCTGAGGTAAGGTACTAATTATTGCTAGAAAGCATTACAGAAGATCTCAAAATGTATTGCAAAGGAAAACAAAATATTCTTATTTTTTATCTTGTTGCACGAGGAGATACTGGGCTTGCATGTCTTGTCATTTCCATAAAGAGATGGTAATCCCTATCAGTGATGGCTGAACGACATCCTTCAGTTCTCCAATTTAAGGAAATCATTCAGTTATTTAAACAGTGTTCATCTGGCAGCAGAAATTGGCCCATAAACTTATCAGCCCTTTTTCACGTGCAGGCATAAACACTGTGATAAATATATGCCTGGACAGAACATTAAGATAAACACTTTTTTCTCAGTGCCTCTCTAATTTTTTTCTCTTTGTAATGAGAATGAAAGTAACTCAAGAATCCACTTTTTCCTGTCACACTCAATTTTTGAGGCTCAAAATCTCAGTAATTTAAATAAAATCCAAGAAAATGCAAATGAACATTGAAAGACTTAGAACTGCAAATATATTTTCCACTAATAAGGAGTTAATAGAACCATGCATTTTTTTCCCCATGTATGGGAGATGTCTAAGTTTTAGTATCTAGTCTCATATCCACACTGTGGCAAGAAATTCTATTATCCCAGCACACTATACCCCATATACTTGTAATGAAAAAAAAACAAACAAAACCCAAACAAGTAAAAGACTACACCAAGCCCAGATGAAATACTTCCTTCTTTCCACTTAACAGCAGAGGTGCCTGCCTTGGTCATAAGAGGACCACAGAAAACAAATGGGGTGCTATTCTCCATTGTGTCGGCAGTGTAAATATGGTAGTTGGTAAGACTTATGTTCAGCACCACAAACACTGTATTTAATGACAATTTTAATGCTCATTTACTTTCACTGATATCCCTCTCTCACATTTTTCTCCTTAAATTATTTCAGAAATACGATCCTGGTTCTGTTTTCTATCAAGTTGGGACACTACAATTAGATCACTTAGAGCATGGGAATTACCTGCAAAAATCTAGTTACATCCCCTTTCATTATGGCAATTCTATTTCAGGAGTCACTCAGGATTACAAATTCTTTATTAAATAGTAAAACAGAGCTGCTGTTCTGGGTGTTATTTATTGTATCTAACAGTCAAGTACTGACTGCTATGCTTTAAGTGCTTCCTGATTTTTTGCTTTTGGATGTCCCCACTCCTCTTCTATTACACAATTTCTCATAAATCTAAGAATTTTATCTCACACTGGAAAGGACTCTGCTTGCTCTGTTTGTCAAATTTCTGTGTCACAAATGTAATTAAAAATAACAGATTCAATTGCTGACTTCAAATGACCTTGCAAACACATAACACTGTATTCTTCATAAACTAACTTTTTACTGCTTTTCTCTTCATCTAGTCATGGAATTTCTACAGTTAACAAGAGCAAGCCAGAAACACAGGAAGTTGTTTTGAGAAAATATTCCACAAAAAATCATAAAATTGCCAAGGTTGGAAAAGACCTCTAAGATCATCCAGCCCAGCCCAACTGCCCACCTATCACCAGTATTTTCCACTAAACCATGTTCCTCAGTACAACATCTAAACGTTCCTTGAACATCTCCAGGATTGTTGACTCCATCACCTCTCTGGGCAGCCCATTCCAGTGCATGACCACTCCTTTGGAGAATTAGTGTTTCCTGACTTGAATCCCCCTGGCACAAATGTCCAGGCCATTCCCTCTAGTCCTACATGGGAGAAAAGGCCAACCCCTGCCTCACCACAAATCTTTGCTTCAGTACATGCACTGTTTGATAACCCAAGCAAAAAGTCGAGAGCCTTGCAGATCCAGTTCCAAGGAAAGAAAAAGCACAGGATTTCCTCACTGTAATCAGCACAACCTTCTTTTCCTTTGTAGTCTGCAAAGCAGCTAAGAAACTTGATGAAGATCTCAAACAGACTATCTGGTGGTTCTAACTCTTTGCTAGATCGGCAGCGGGAAGCGTTGAAGCGTGACTTACATGCTTGAATAGCCTGGCTGGCTAGAAGCCCAAGTGTACAAACAGGTGAGAATTCTGTTCTCCATTTCAAAATGCTGCTAGACAAAGGCAGCATATTAAAAATGACCAAAATATACAACGTAATGGTTAATATGCTAAGCAACATAAGATCATAAAAATGATCATATTGGATGGATTCCAAAGTCTGTCTCGTTCGGAAGCTTATGTAGTAGGAATACATGGCTATAGAAAGAATATGTTCTGATTTCACATACAAGATATGATTTGGTAAACAGTGCTACTTCCTTTGAAGCCTTTCCCAACTTCCAACAATCTGCTCTGACAGACTTCTTAACTGCAACCGAAAATTTTGCAACAGCCGATGTACTTTTCCTTTATGATGTTCCTCATACCTTTTAGTTCTTACACGATTTGATACCTAAGAAGTTGCCTCATGTGAAAAAGCAATTTGTGCTGCTTGTTTTTAACTATCTTGCTGATGATTTATTTCACTGCTCTTTAAGCTTTGGATGGCAGAGTAACTAATTCTTCTCTGTACATCTTTGCTATGGATTTACAATGTTCTGTATCACGAGCGTAATAAACTCAGTCATCACTTTTGCAGGCTCTGTATCCTCTCAGTTTATCTCCTCTTGTTCAACAATCTGTCCCCTTTCTTTTATCCTTGTTGGGCTTATGTATACTTTCTTGTTCTACCATACTGATTGGAAATGCAAGAATCAGAATTGCAGACAATATTCAAGAAATGGAACTACAACTGTGTACAATTACACAGTAATTACTTCTATTTTGTTCTCTCTTTCCTCATCAGTTCCTAAGAGTCTCTTCAGTTTTTTCTAGTGCTTCTTACAATTTTGAAAACATAGTTAAAGCTCTTATCCCCAATAAATAATACTTAGCATTTATCAAAGCTAAATTTAATTTGCATATTACTACCCAGCTTCATATATTCTTCCACAGCTTTCATCATTGTGGAAGCTCCTGCTATGAGTAATTTTATACCACTGGCAAACCTAGACATGTCTTTGTCTCCTACAGCTAATTAATTATGAATATGAACTCTTTATTTAGGAAGAAAAAAGGTTCTTTCAAGTGTTCTTATGAGCTTTGTTTTATCCTTTTCACTACTGCTTCTCATTTGAAACAGAAAACTTGCAGTGAAATGTTATGTAGCTTCCCTGCTTGAAATTCAGTACTGGAGAAATACTTGAGGTTTTTGTTAGCAAATGGATTTTGAATTTGATTATACTCAGATTACTATAACAGAATTGAATTTTGATCATAATATTTCAAATCAAGTTCTATGTAATAATCTCTGCATTGCTCAGGAATCACCTGTTCATTTGTGTGCTCTCTTTCTAAGAAAGAAGAAAAGTTGTCATTCCAAATTTTTCTGCTGTTTCATGCTATGCCATTTACCAGGCTAGCACAGGCAGAACAGAATTTGAACTATTATTTAATTATCTAGCTATATAAAATCTCTAACTTCTTTAACATGCCAGCCACTGCTGCCATCTACTCTGGTCAGCACTATGCATCTCATATTATCTGAGCATAAACAGGTTTATGTTACTCACCGATAAAGAAAACACATTTACTTTATTTCAGACAAGGTTTCTTTATTGCTTAGAAACATTTATTCACTGGCATCATCTATTTTGTAATGCCCTACTGCAAATTAAATGTGAACAATATGCTATATGTTACCTCCTTCCTATCGTGTTTAAAAAATTATTTTAGGTTTACAAGCTCTTCTAAAAACAGGCATTCCACTTTACTCATCTATTTTAAAAACATTTAATATTTGTAAAAAAACCCACATATTTGATTTTCATGTGTATGCTTTCTGCTATCTCAGTTGAACTCTTACAGTTTGTTGTCCTCTGTGCAGCATTCATTTGAGGATACAAAACCCACACTATTTTGCATTAAAAGGAGGAATTACTTTGAACTATGTGCTCTTTTCTGCCAGTTTTTTTTTCCATGAGAGACATTTAGTTATGTTGCTGTCCTGTTTCTACAAAGAAGACTACGAATATAAGACAAGCTGCTACGGAATCTCTAAGTGAAGACTGGCAGTTTGAAGTATAGCCTCTTTTCCAGTTGAATTCTGGCCAAAGTTTTGGAATAAATTGAGCCTTCTAATTTAAACTTGTGATTTTTATTTTAAGCCATAAATTAAACTTCCACATTATAGCAACAAAATGCCTACCACTAGTCAAGCTAATGGTCAGCATTTAGATGAGGATATGAAATACAAACATATACCATAAGAGGGATTACATAATAGAGAAAGGGCATTTCAAACATACCACATTCACTGGCTGATTCACCCACCAACTGGAAGAACTGCTGAGCAATTTTCAGATGATCTCTCTAGGAAAGGAAAAAAAATTCAACTAGGCGAAATGAAGAACATGCAGGCAAACTGGGGTTGAAGTAAAACCAGAAAAGGTAAATTATGCCACTGTATAGGTCTAGATACACTGGAATACTGTAAAAGCAAACAGAATTTGGAAGCACGACAGGGAAGTCAGCTTTAGCTTGATTTACTTTCAGGACTAGTAACAGAAACTTGCAGTTTATTCATTATGGCTTAAGAACTGTATGGAGTAATATGAAGAGACTCAGAGATCCTGCAATGTAAATGTGAGATGACTTTCACTCCGTTCCAGTCCCTACAGATCTGTTCATATTCTACTGTTGAAGATGCTGGAGAACCTTGTGGATTTAACTCACCGAATCCATTTCTTGTCCAAGAGCTGCATTTACCACTCCTTTGAGGATATACTCCTGGAAAAGAAGAGTAAAGAGGATCAAAAAAGGCAATGTGAAGATTTCAGGAGACCTAGAACAGTGTTCTCGTGCATATTTTTCTTTCTAAAGTTAACTCTATCCCAAACCAGTTTAACTGATAGCTGGTTATTACCAGAGCAAGTGTTTCGGTACAGCATCACAGTCACCTCCCAAAAATCTATACTACTTGTTAGCTAGTCACTTCTGCTAAATATTTGGGCTGCAAAGAAGTAGAGAGTTTCCTAATAAGACTTAATATTCGAAGATTATGTATCAGAAGTTACACCATAACATAACATAGTATTATGCCCTCTTCACCACCATTTGGCTAATAATCAAGTGCAATATTGTTCCACTAATGCAAGGATCCAACGCCTAGTACACACACACAGGTTAACCATCACCACCAGCAGCCATGCTCCAAAAGGCAGTGTTTCTCATCAGGGTAAAAATGTCAAGAGATTTGTGCTCATACTGTTCTACTGAAATTAGGAACTAGAACAGAGTAATCTATGCTCTGAGCTACACAGGCAGTTCTATTCTCACTGAGCAAGATCTTCTTAGAATGTAACAGATTCATTTGTCTTGTTTAAATCTTATAATCCAGTGTTCTAGCTATAAATGTGTTGTAGTAGGTTCTCCTGATAAACTTGGATAGATCCCTCAGATATAAACAAAGGAAAGGAGGAAAAAAAAAGGACTGTAAAGATGAACAAAATGTAAGGAAACAATCTGATGGTAATAGCCAGGATGCTAAGTAATCATGTCAGTACATCAACTCCTACAGATGCAAAATTAAATCCTATAGACTCCATGACAAAGAAGAAATTTGATAAGAACTATAGGTGAATTATAGAACTATATGTGTAGTTTTGCAGTCTTAATGGGGAGTTCCTTCTGAGTGTGGATGAGAAAATGGAGAAAAAAATCCACAAAGATTCTCAATTTAAAATGTATCAAGTGGGTGATATCGTGGTATACATATAAGCTTGTATATGGGGAAAATGCAGGGAGAAAATAGGGCCCAGAGAAGCAATATTGGTATAAAACTGTTTAAGGAGGGCATATATAGCTGCTTAAGTATTAAGTATACTGAAAAATGCAAGAACTAGAAAGCAAAAAGAAACAGCAGAAGGCACTCCTCAGCACAGAATTACCAGATCTGTTTTTAATGTTTCCCCCCCTCCCTCTCTCCATCCATCCCTCACACACACTCGTGAAAGGTCTCTTGCATGCCCGGTTATGTGATCTTTGGAAACTCAACTGCAAAGAGGAATAAATCAGAGACTAGAGATGCTGGAACAGCCACAGAAGAAAATGACAGTAGCAGTCAAGGGATATTTCAGTTTTCACTCATGGCAGCCAAAGTGAGATGGGATTAGAAGAGACCTATTATTTAACACGTTGAATCGAACCTGGCTCATTTTTATTGAAATGGCTTCAGGACAAACCACATGAGTGTCTGAGCTAGCAGATCTTGAGGGATGGTGATAAACACCACCGAGGGAGAAGTGACAAGCAGCTGTAGTTGGAAGAGAGCTTTCATCTATACAGTAATGGTCAGCTCCCTAGAATCAAATCTGCACAAAGAGTTGCATTTTCAATCGACCCTGGGCAGTACAGTACTAAACGTGCTAGGTACTCATGTATGTATATATAATATTCTATGGATGACTCTTAAATCTATCACTGATAAAAGGATAAAACATGAGAGTTTTAAGGGTGGGAATGGAGCAAGCTATCTGCAGGATACCGGTTTTGTATGTGGCAGAATTCACACTAATTTATAGCCTGTCTATGTACCATGACATCATTTTCCAATTACCTGTGGAGCTGTAGGTTCCAAGTCTTTAATCAGGTTATAAGCTTCCTGCACATCATCTGAAATACCAGATGTTAGAATGCATGACAAATCATGGCATGTTGTATTAGAACAAATCACTCATCCTCTACAACATTCCCCTATAGTCACAGATGAAGAAATAAAGCATTTAGACAGGAAGAGAAAGGTACCTATAAATCACTGTGAATTTATATCAGAATGGTGATGGTTTCCTAGAACTCGAATAACAAACATGGTGTGAGTAATAGCTTCTTTATTACTACAGTTTTCCTACTAGAGATGACTCGGTTCCTTGTTCATAATCTAGTGGCTGACTTTCCAACAGTACAAGGTCAAGATAATAAATCCATTACTTTCTTGTTGTATCTCTTTTCATATTTATTTATTCCATATGCGGGATAAGGTAAGATGTTTCTGAAGAGAAACTTCATTATTTCTTATCAATATTTCAAAATCTGTCCAGCACCTCTTACCTGATCCTACTTCCAACAAGCAAAAACACCACTAGCATAGAAGTTTAAATGTAAAGTTTGGATTCAATAGGCAACTTTGGATCTTCCTGAGAAATAGTAACTGAAAATATCCTAAATCTTATGAAGATGCCCTTTGAACTGACAAAACGTTGTTAATACAGCATTATACCAGCTGCTTATAAGAATAAACCTTACCAAACAAAGCTTCCTTTTGAACAGTAGATACCATCCAGACAGCACGGTGACTCCAGGGTGACTTAAGGCAATATGCATTGGAGATCTCGAGCTCCAATTCATCCCTGACCAGCAACTCTGCTTTTCTACCCATTCCCTAGAGCAGCCACATAGTAAGCCAGTACACACTATACAAAAGCAATCACTTTTTATAAAAAAACTAGAAATAGGTTTTTGGGTTTTCTTCTTTGACTAGTGTAGCTCATCGGTGTTGGCACAAAGCAAGAGACAAGATCGCCATGTGAGTTTGTCAGCAGGGCATGAGGAGAGAAAGAAACTACAGCAGCCCTGCTTTCTGATCAGTGAGGACCATCAACACAGAATTCTGCTCTTTGGGCTCTGAAGAAGTTCCCTAACAAATATAGGAAATTCAAATTGGAATTCCTGGCCCAATACCCTAAAACTCACTACCTTAAACAAAAGAAAATGGGAAGCACATTTGTGCTTCAGTCTCTCCACTTCAAAGCACGCCTTTATCAGAAACCTTGTAAGTTTTGGAGAGATGGTTCAAATCATTGAGAGTGTTCTTGACTGATCCTGCTGCACTATGCAGATTTTTAAATGAAGACATAGCCATTTTTATCCTAACTCTATAGCACTCCTTTATCAGTATGCATGTTATTTGAATAACAAAGAACGGAACTTGACTGAAATTATTGCAAGTTTGGCAGCACAGGAGTAAGTGGACTGTTTTTTAACTGACACAAATTTGCTTTGCTTCTGTATAAGTGGAGATCAAGTTGAAGCATATCTTCTTCAATAATGTTGTTAATAATAATATAATTGATAATAATACTAGTACTGCTTTCAATCATATTGATTACAATAATAATGGACACAATGTTTGCCAGGAGCAGCAAATGCAGAGTTACAAACATCAAAGCATACCGACTGAACCAATGGATACCTACTTGTATGGATAAGGAAATAGGAGCACACGCTTGACTTCAGCAAGGTCTTTTGACACAGTCCCTATAATATTGTCACAGCCAATTTCTATCTCACCAGTTTAGCCATCTCTACAAACCCAAGAACCTCCAATTCTATGTGGAAATAGATTTATTTGAAGGCATACAATTACAGCCCTTCTCTACAAGCTGTGGGAATTTGTTTACATCACTATTTCTCAGAGATACTGAAAAGGAAATATATTACACAGTGCTGCAAAATAAAAAGCATTTTTGGGAGTGATCATTTGAGAGCAGATAAATAAAAATCATCCCTGAAGCAATGAGAGAGCCAGAGGAAGGCATATTTACCTTGCCGCAGATAGTAAATCACAAGGTTCAGTCTTGCCTCAGGAATAACATCAACCAGAGGAGGCAGCACCTGCAAAGCTCCTTCTCCCCCTCGGAACACCACCTGCAAATAAAAGCAGCATATTGATAACTGTTTATTATAATCTTCGTTATGATTCTTTAATTCCTATGTTAACAGTAAGAAGAGGTCAACAGTACTGTCTTTAGTGTAATTCCTGCTTTAATATAACAATAAAATTATATGTATGACAACCTTTGTTCTAAAGAACATTTAAGTACATAATTCATCAGCAGAGATTGACCGATCTCAGGTTTTAGCAGCTGAAAGCTGTGGCACATTACATACCAAATGTTTTAAAGAATATGGCCCAGAACAAAAGTGAGAACAAGTACAAAATTAGTTTCCTTATGATTATGCATTTGAGAAAAAAATAGGATAAGTATTATAGAATTGTTTAGAATACAATTAGATCTATAAAGGATTCAGTGCTTTATAATTCAGTGTTACATGACAGTTCCTCCAGAAAAAAAAAATACAAATCTAATATACTGACTCAATAGACTCCTGGCAAAAAGACCAACATTCACAATAAAGAATTTTAACTTATAAAGTCCAATCTGAAATCACTGTTAGGTTTTGTGATCAATGACTGCCTGATAAATAATAGCTATTAACAATTGTTCAGCAAAGTAATAATACCATTGTAGGGAGCATTAACAGGTACTCAGTGACTCTTCTACTGCAGAATGCATAAATATTTTGGCTTGTGTCGGTATCTTTTCCCCATGCACTGCTTGTCAAGTACTGTTTTGATAAAGACCATTTTCCTGAGTTATCTTCATTCCACTGACATCGTAGTCAATTGTAGACAACATTGAGTTGACAGTTCAAGGTCATGCATTCTGGTTTGTTTCTATACTACCCTAGTTGACTAGTCTCTACAAAATATCTTGCTAGGTTATTCTTACAGGCTATGAATTGTTTTAATATGCCTTTTGTCTAAAAGCAACAACATTATTATTTTCGTGATACAGTCTCACACTGTCAAAGAAAATGCCAGGGTAAAAAAACAGCACCAGCAATAAACTTGATGGCACATTGATTATACAGGCCAGTTTTCTGGAATAGGGCTTATAGGGCAGCAGAGATTCAGATGTTTGAAGATCCCAAAATATTCCCTTTCATAACTCTTCAAAAAAAAGTTCTACAAACAACTGCAGACCCCATGAAACTCAAGAAGCACATTACTTACCAGATTATGTTTAATGAGCTCCTTCCCAAACTCAAAAGATGATGAGGCACTGTCCGTCAAGTTCTTGAGTTCTGCCTGGAATTACATATACTCAAAAAGTTTAATAATAACACACAAAAAAGCACAGAGACATCAATGGAGGTTCATATCTGTCCCAGAACTGACAGAAACATCTCCACCAGTGCTGGGTCAATGGAAAAGCTGTGCCTTCCCACGTTTATATGACAATAATTGAATAATCCACAGACATAAGGTCAAAAGTGGACCAGGAAAACAGTAAAACCACTGTGCGTGCACCCATGTGTACAGATGGCTTAGCGCTAGAATCACTGAAGTAGGTTAAACTCCTAAGAGGACACAGTGATGTGGTACTAGGCCATTATCAACACGATTAACTGACTACGAAAGATAACAAGGAAAAGAAATGCCTAAGGGATGTCTTGAACTAAAATGAAGGCAAACTGAAGGGCTGTCAAATAGATACCTCAGCAGCCTTTCCGTTGTACAGTCGGAAATGGTTACAAGCCTTGAGGTTAAGAGCAATGGTGCTGTCAGGAACTTGCTGAAGATAAACAGCTAGCACTTCTTGTGATACATCATAGTAATCCAGTTTATAATAGCATAGAGCCACATACACATTCAGAGCCAAGTACTCCCTGCAGAAAGGAAAAAAGAGCATTTAAGAAAACATTTCAATCCAACAGATAGTTATATTACAGAATATTAAAATCAGTGATGAAGCCCTATATCTTCAACAAACACATCAAATTTGGGATTTCTAAATACTTGTTAGGTATCTTTATACCTCTAGTTCGTGATATAAGTTGCACAGATCCATTAACAGACATGCATGAGTTTTTTTCAATGGCAGCTATTCCAACACAATAACTGACAAAATGGTTGGCTAGCAAGTCTTTAAAAATGTGGTAATTCACACTGAGGAAATCCATAGAAAATAAGAACTTTTGTCCTGGCAGAATAGGATTTTCTGTGCAATACGTGTGAAAACATTTATATGCATTTAAAACTTTGAAAACATTTCAACAGATTCAACATGTTCTGTTATCTTAGAAATACTATTTATTTATTTATTAAAGAAAACTAAACAGGCTACTGCAAGCTATGAAAACAGAAGAACTAGGCACAGAAATAAGACAGATATTTGTGGTAACAGTAAGTAAAAAGATAATTGTTACAAAGGTTACTCGCTTAGCTTTCCATGATTGCTTCTACAGATTTAGAATTTCAAGAACTCTTTCCCGAGCATTAAATTACATATGGACATTATGAAGGACACTCAGCTTTCTGTAATGCACTCAAGAAGAGACAGTGCCAAAAGACAGCTACGTATTATGGGGTTGCAATTTCTATTCTACCAAACTACTTTTCCAGCCACTTAAGAATTCATTTTGTTCCTTTTCAAATTATGAACTAAGAAGTAGAATATGATAGAAAAAACATAATAATTAAAGAAATGCAAAGAGCTTTCTAAATAACCACTGAGAGCTGATCCGCTTCTTAGAAAGGATAACAGGTGAAGCAGAAATCAGTGATCAAAAGCAAGGCTCACCAGACTGATCATCAGAATTGTAATTCAATTACAACAATATCAGGACACCAAAGTAAGGTTTAGAGTAGAAATGCCCACCGATTTTCAAGAAGAATGCATTTGTAGATATCAATAGCTTCTTGGTAGTGGGACCGCATGTAGTGGATAGATGCCAAGCTAAGCTGATCCTCTGTAATGTCTTGCAGATTTTGGTGAGAGCTCATCAGTTTCTTCTCATCACTGAACTAGAACAGAAAGTGAGACATTCTCAGAAGAGTTCAATGAGAAATACATTTTAAGTTAATATGCTGGATTAGTTTTGTCCTTGCTGGCAAGCAGCAAGTGATTCATTTTTAACATCTGGATGTTACTTCAAAGTTAATTTGAACAGTGAAGAAAGCCAAACATTAAGAAGCAGACCAGTTGTAAACAGATAAATTAAGCATGAGTTTTCCTTTAAGTTGTGATTCAGACACAATTACACATCACGTGCCTTGCTGGATAAGAGAGCTTAATTAATCAATTATGTTATTTCACAAATATAATTCTGCAATGCAGGATTTAATTTACTATTCAATTTGGCACTTTTTTTTCTGTTAACAAAAGAAATCTTATTTCTCAGGGATAGCAGGAAAATGGAAGTCCTGCCAACACTCAAGCACTAACTTCCACAACACTTCTTTACAACACAAGCAAATTCTCCTTCATCGTTCTTTCAAAGTTCCTGTTAAAGCACTGATTTTTAAAATTGCTGTCGAGCACAGAACAAATGCACTAGGGTATAAGAAAGCAACAGAGTTCAACAATCAGCTTGTACTTGTGTAAGTAATAAAGTTGAGGCTATGCAGCAATTATTTTACTCAAAACAGTTATTCCAGTGCTTTTTATCAAGGACATCTTTTAAGTACCGGTGTAGAAACATTTTACGATTACTCTTCTAAACCAACAGAAATTTAAGGAAGAGAATCTAGCAACAAAGCTAGCATGCAGGACTTGTATTTTATTCTCCCAAAACTCAGTCTCTCCAGTAGCACAATACTGGCTGGGTATCATACAGGATGGATGGTACAAAAGCAAATGGAAGGGAAGACAGCCACAGGTGGTAACTGAAACAGTCATTTAACTGTTGTTGAAATTTAATTAAGTCTGATGCCATAAACATGATTACTTTTTGGACAGTGAATGACTTATGAGGATCAGAAATACCTTATGAGCCTTCTTGCTCAAACTGCTAAGCACAACTGCAAATTAGGAAACTTTGATAACTTCAAAGAAAATGAAAACAGTGGTGTATGCATTTCTGATTCTGTTCAAAGTCTCAGGTCCTTCATAATAAAAAATACCACCAGGTTCTTAATGTACAACTTGCATGAAGCTGGTTGGTAAGGCTTTTTGTAGATACTTGCTGAGGGCATCCATTCCAAGATCTGGCTTTTACACTTGCTTTCTCCACCAGTTTATTACAGGAGAGTGGTTGCAGAAAATCTTTGTTCTCCTTCCAACACTGACATTTTAATTATTTGCCCAGATTGCCAGAACACATTACAAATTACCAAATTGAAAAGAAAACAAAGCAAAGCACGAGTGAAGAAAGGACATTGTACCTTATGTGCCAGGTGAAAGAGTAAACGGTTCTGAAGACGACTCTTAGGTGCTGAAAGGAAAATTCAGTAAGTATTTCTGCAAAGAACAATTCAGGACATCCAGCTTTTATTTTAACTTTCTCAACAGACATGCATATGCATGTATTTTTCATTAACTAGCCCAAATACAGTTCCTCACTGTACTTCACTTCAGCAATTTTAATTGGCTTTAAAGCCTTCCTGCTTCCCATCTTCATTCCCTGTCCATTTCTTTTGAAATCCCTGCTGAAAATACTTTTTGATTGGCCTCTTCCTTCCATGAGTCTTAAAACTGTGAATAACTGCACTACCATTTCTCTGCTGGTCCTTCTTGTTAAAGTGTGTTTTTTTTTCTGATGCCATGCAGGACCTCTCTCATAGAATTAAAAAAAGCAGCGACAAGCTCATAATCAAGGTTCTTTTCACAGTGTGCAATATTTGAAGTAAATTGTGATTCATATTTCTAGGAATCTTGTCAACTTTCAGTATACTGCAAATTCCAGTGCTGCTACCATTTGTTTATGCGATGATATCATACATAGTTCTAATATTTCTTCAGTCCAGAGGAAAAAAAGGCACATTAATGCACTCAGATGTACATTAATGTACTCCTGTACAGGGAGCAGATAAGATTCAAACAAAGACATGAAGAGAGAAGAGTGTCTTTCTAAAGCCACTCAAGTCCTCTAGACTTCTGGCTCTAACAGGATTAGGAATTGCATTGAACACATTTCACATGCACAAACTGTTCACTGCAGAGATTTAAGTGACTACAGAGAGCCTTGTTCACTGAGATTGAGGAAGGTTCTTAGTCAACAAGCTATTAACTTCTTTTGGGAGCAATCTTCCAAAAAGCCTTTCCTTGTTTCCTGTGTTTTTTTCAGCCTACTCAGCTAATGAGCACTCTCATTTTTGCTCAGACCAACCAGTTGGCAACCCAGGATTTACATGGAATTTTTACAAAGAACAGAATTACTTACTGTGTTTACAGGGCCAAGAAAATGCAGAGTTAGCAAAGCAGTGGCCTGTAACACAACACTACAATTCTTCTGACATCCTAAACCATGAAAGAGAGCTCAAACCACCAAAACCTCTTTCTCTTCCCTCTCAAAGATGGAAATTTCTAGCAATAAATTAGATTTATTTTAAATGGTAATTTAGGGACAGATTTCCATACTTCTTACTTTTTCTCTACTCTTATAATAAGGAAACTGTAATGCCAAAAATGAACCAGGCCACTGTCATCAGATGGGCACTGTAAAACTCTGTGTACTCTCAACAGCCGTGTCTAGAAAAAAAAAAAAGACAGCACATTTTCTCTCTAAAGACTTTCTAGAATAGAGGAGTACCAAAAGGAAAAGGTGGAACAAGAGTTCTCACAAAACCAAAATATCTCGCCAAGTATTACTATCCAAGGATCAAGTAGGTAGAAAGCTACATGGTCTTCAGTCTAGGATCTACTAAGGAATTCTCATTGACCTAATAAAAGAAAGGAAAGCCTTTCTGATCTGCAATCAATACTGTGTTGTTATTGACATCGCAGTCATGGACTGCTGCACATGGACCCCACATATGCTTTCATGCAAAACTTCAACCAACAGCAACCACTCTTTGCAATTCAAAACATTTGGTCATCAAAGACTCCAGAAATACAAGCAGGACAATTTGTGGGATTTACACTGAAAATAACATATTGTATGACCACAGTCCAGCGAACAAAGACACCAACGTTCCTTTTTTTGCATAGGTTTTATATTTTTTTTAGTAGGCTTTAGCATGAATTCCTCTGTAAGTGACTTGCAAGCAGTATTCCCTCGAGAACCTAAACTAAGGAATTATTGTTTCACTGGTCAACCAATGACAGTAGTGCTGCACTCACACATCTGGCATTTGATCTGACATTGAAATTGTTATTCACTAGTTGGCAAGAGCTGGAGGGTTAGTCCACGTTATTCTATGCCTAAAAGCAGGCAAAAGGTGAAACCCAAGTTCTGATGGTTTGCTTAGACATATGGAATAGGAAAAAACCTCCCACTTCGTAAGATACAGTATTACCTGAGAGAATCCATCTTTTATTCTTTAAAATACAACCTTTTTACATGATGTCAGGCAAGGAAAAGGAGGGTCAAAAACAACAACAAAAAATGTCGCCCTGTTGACATTATAAGCAGAACTGTGGAAACATTCAATAACAGCACTTTTTCCCTGTGCTGAATTTGTTTTTTGAGAGACTATGAACAAAGTCAGATAAATTTCCAGATACAATCAAATAATAAATATTAAATAAAGCTGCTGTTAATCACTGGGGCAGGAAGGGGTGAAAGTGCCTCATCATCAAAGAACCGTCTTTTGAGAAACGCTAGACTTGCTCTTTTACTACTCTCTGTTATCAAATGTCATCGTCACTGACCTATCAATGCCACAAGAAAGCACAAATTTCTTTTCCTGTCCTATTTTTTCAAGAAAACCGCTTTCTTTTTTGTTTTGTTTGTCTGTTTGTATCAGCATTTAGAAAACTAGGGATGACAGTGCTGCACTGTGATAAACTAGACCTGCTCCTGTGTCTAGTACTGGCCTCGTACGGAAGAAATCACTGAGATAGTTGGACTGGACATATCTCTTTCCACCTAAGAAATGCAACAATATCTCTATACTAGAATTTTTGTAATTATCAGTGCTGATGTTTCAGGGACTATAGACATATTGACATGGATCTATAGGGCACTTCACATGCTAACAGGTGTAGAATACATCTGAAACTGCCACAGCTGGGAGGGGTAAAGGTGGCACAGGGATGAGAAGGCTTCATCCAGGTAACACAGAAAATATGACCAAAGAAATCCCTATTATGCTGTCCCTAAGAAACAACGCCCTGCTCACCTGAACGCAGCTGAATGAAGCCCTCTGTGCCTCAGAACCACAGTCTTTCTGGTGGAGGGAAAGTGCAACGGTAAGGGAAAAATGTCAGGAAAAAACAGAGTCCAACACTGAGGTTCATGCTTGTACACACTTAAATAGCTCAACTGTTGAGAGTTTTCTCACACGAAACCTGCAGAGATAATTCACTGAAATTTTCACTTTCCTCAAATACTTTTATTCTTTCTTATACTTAAAAGTCAGTTCAACTGTGTTCAGTTCTGTGCAGTACACACGCGTTTCATTTCAGGCATGCCAGAGCACAGTAACTTGAAGATGACTGAAACAAAAACAGTTATTTCTGTTATGTGGATTCCACTATGCTTTAAAAAGCAAATAAAAAATCCAGCACAGAAACCAAATGCAAGCAACAAAACACTACCAAAACAAAATACGGCTAGTAGTTTTTAAAGTTTAAAGATCTATAATTTGATACTTTCTTGTGTGCACTTTGAAAGTTCAAACCCAGCTGTTTTAAAAACAATGGCTAAAATGCAATGAAAATTAACTTCTGTGCTCAAGAAATACGGTACAAGCAGACAGCAAATAATTTTGCATGTAGGGAAAGATGCGGCCTAAAGGAAAAGAAAATCCAGCAATGTTGCCAGGCTCTCTTGTAACTGCACATTTTCATTGGCGACAACTATCTGACACCTGGCAAACATTTGTGCATGAATAAGCAAAATTGGTTTGGAAAATGCTACCATTCTTATTAATTCATCTCTGTTTTGCTTTTGTGCAATATTGCTCCTTCCTGCATAGGCTAAAATGAGAAGTATCTGTTCAGTTAAACCACATTCTGAGCTGACACATGAAGCGCTGTGAAGAAGCAAATTAATTATAAAGTGCTGCCCAGCAAAAAATAGAAGGAAAAAAACCTCTAATGACAAGTTAATACAACCCTATCTGTGCATGAAGCTTAATTGTAAATCTCCACATTTAAAATATAGAGACTGGTTGGTTGGGTTTTTTTTGTTTGTTTGTTTTTTTGCAGCCTCGCTTATGTGCAAATCACATTTGCTAGCATGTATTTTGTGGTTTAGAAGAATACTGTTGGTCCTTGTATTTTTCTTAATGCAGTGCTAGCCAAAGGCTTCTGAGAGCACTGTGCAGGCTTCTGAACACCAGGTTTCGTTGCCAGCATTTCTGTGCAAATGTGGCAGGTTCAGTTTCTGATCCTTGTCATTTATTTCTCGAAGGCACAGGACTGGGAAGGCAACTTAAGACTACTTGGTTTGATAATGAAAAATTAACACATGTATTATTATTTATTAAGCTAAGATGAAGACTTGGCTGCATTCTTACAAAGCAAGATGGGCTGATATACACTAAGGAAAATATATGTTCAGCCCTGTGCATTAAAGCACTGAGGCAGAAGGAATAAACAATGCATCACTTGGAAGCTTTGATATGGGATGACTATGGAACAACAGTTGCTGACTTAAGTAACACTACTTTCGCCACAGGTCCAGGAAACATAACATCCCCAGGTGGCCGAGAGGGCCAATGCCATTCTGGCCTGCATTAGTAATAGTGCAGCCAGCAGGAGCAGGGAGGTGATCATCCCCCTGTACTCAGTTCTAGTGAGCCCACACCTCGAGTACTGTGTCCAGTTTTGGGCCCCTCACTACATGAAAGAGGCCCTGGAGCGTGTCCAGAGAAGGGCGACAAAACTGGTGAGGGGTCTGGAGCACAAACCTTATGAGGAGCAGCTGAGGGGAGACCTCACTGCACTCTACGACTGCCTGAAGGGAGGTTGTGATGAGGAGGGTTTTGGCCTCTTCTCCCGGGCATCAAACAGGACCTGAGGAAATGGCTACAAGTTCTGCCAGAGGAGGTTTAGGTTGGACATGAGGAGAAACTTCTTCTCTCAGAGAGTGGTCAGGCACTGGAATGGCTGCCCAGGGAGGTGGTGGAGTCGCCGTTCCTGGCGGTGTTCAAGAGGCGCCTGGATGAGGAGCCGTGAGATACGGTTTAGTGCTTGTGGTAGCAGTGGGAATGGGAGACGGTTGGACGGTTGGACTAGATGATCTTGTAAGTCCTTTCCAACCTTGTGATTCTGTGATTCTATAAGAGGACAGCAGGAAAAAGAGGCCAGAAATATCTGAAAGGAATTTGGCAGAAAGCCTAGAGGAGATAAAGTACATCTATCATAAAGAATCTTCAAAAAAAGGACTCTCCTCTACTGACTTTTTATTCCACTTCTTAGGTTATGTTTGCAGTAATTCTGGTTTATGACACTTTTGATGCACAGACTTGTTATTTCCTGAGAGAATATCCAATTAAGTTTTATTTAAGTAATGACAAGCTTCACATCTATTTAAAAATGAAGTCTTGCTCCAGAATAGAATGCAAATGATCTTTTATGAAATGCAATAATTACCTCATGGCCTTTAACTCTCATTTCCTGATTTTAAAACATTCTTCATATTTTTTCCTCAGTTAATAATTTTCTTAAGCAATGGTAACAGCAAATGACAAGAAGGAACTTCTATTTAATTTCCAGATATTTATAGTTCTGTGCAGACAAGCTATTCCAGAAAGCTAGCTGACATTCACATTCCCTTTCATGCAGAGACTCCAACGCCATAGGAATTTGGAATTATAAATGAAAATAAATTATTTCTCCTTCATTTGTTTTAATGCTGTGCAGCTTTCAGGGGCATGACAACTGCAGCAATAATCAATACACATCAAACAGTATGCAAAAAAGTCTGGCAGTGTGTTCCCAAAATAGCAATGGTAAGCAGCCCAACACTAATGGTGTCTATCACTCTCACGGCAGAGTTAAAGGCAGTAGTGGATAAATGGTGGCATTCCACAGACTTCACTCTCTTGTGCTTACAGCTCAATGAAGTATTTTGCTGCTTACGGGTCACTGCAAAACCACGGAAGAAATCATAAGGTTCTGTAGGTTCCTCTATTAACTCTATTGTACTTTTTTTATTGTACTCTATTCCTCTATTGTACTGAGAAAAATCGTCACTGATGCTATTGAAAGACACTAAAATAAACCAAAAGAGGATACATTTTGAGTGAAGATAAGATGATTCAAATTCAGTGTAGGAAAGGCCGAAATGATGGATGTGGAAAGGAGAATCTACCACACTTCTTTCTCCATTGAAAGCTCCCAAGTGTTACAGACCTTCGGATGCTGTGACTGCCTCCCCACCAAGCTTAAGCAGCTAGGAATCATCAGTATTAAATATTCACAATGAAGGCCTAGCATCTCAGTATAAAATAAGGCATGCTGCCTTACTTGCACAATTACATAAAGATCAGGAAGTAACATTACTGCTTAGCTATTTTCTGTTTTGTCCCTCAGCTGCATTCCCAATGTCGTGCACTCCTTTCTTAATGTTCTTGCCCTTTTCTTCTGGCACTTAAGCACTGTTCACCACACCACCTACCCAACCCCTTGTCATGCTACCAAGAAATGATCTGAGGAGCAGGGAAGAATTAACCTTCCCTCAGTTTCAGCTCACAGCTCTAAAGATGCATGCCCAGCTGTGTATCTGTCATCTCTAGGATGGATAACTGTAATTTACCCTATGTGAAGCCGATGACAATGAGCAGTCTCCAACTGGTACAGGATGCAGCCACTTGCTTCCTCTGTGGTTTGGGTATAGTGACACCTCAGATCTATTACCCAATTATTTTTAGATTTCAAGTTCACGTCCTAGATTGTAATCTCCTAAACTCAAGCTTATACTACTTTAAGGATTACATTATCACCTGTGAATACTAGAATTTTACACACTTCTTGAACAGTATGGATCACTAATCAAGAATATGGAGAACACATTTCTGCAGGAAACCTTTTGCAGTTGGAAACAAAACATTTTTAGCTGTGGGAATCAAGTTCAGGATGATTGTTCAGGGAATTTTAAAGGGTTACCAGAATCTAATTATCTCTAAAAAAATACTGCAAAACTGTCCTCTTTGGAGGTGTTCTATAGAAAACACACAGTAATTTCCTCCCTTTCTTATTTTCAGCCTAGGGTTAAAGAAATAAAGAATGAAACAAACAAACAAACAAATAAGATTCCGTAAGTCTTATCCTAAGAAAGTGAGAGTCAAAAGCTGACTGAGAACATTACTGCTATTAATTGTACTTAGGAAGCACTGAGATACATGGTGATGAGAAACAATATAAGTCACTAAGATAAACAGAAAGTGATGGGTAACAAAATCAAACTGAAGAAACATTTTTAGGCAGTAAAAAAGTGCCTTGGAATCTAACTTCCATTCTTCTTCTTTAGATTCCATGCATGTTCAAATTAACATGAAAACTTAATAATGTGGTGCAGCAAAGTGCACACCTTATAACCAGATCCCTAATATCTAACTAAAAAGGCAGTAAGACCATCTACTAAGTCACTCAAACTGCTGAATTCTCTCATGTTATTTATTGATTATTTCACTATCCTTATTAGCTTCATCTGCAATGGCTCAGAGATATGCAGTCAGCCAAAAGAACAGTAAATTTTTGCTGCTGGTCAGCATATGCTAGGTTTTGTATTTAGAAATTAGTAAGAGAAATTATTTTCCAAATGCTTCTTTCAGTTTCAGCTGTTCCACCTGCCCCAGGTATTTTTAGAGAGCAAATCACATTATAAATTTTGCCCTGAACGAAAAGAAGAAAGAAAAAAAAAAAAAAAAAAAGAGAGAAAAAAAGAAAAAAACCTCTTTGTTCAAAAGTATCCTTTATTACTCTGAAAAAAAAGCACCATATACTTTTCTGGAAATCATTTTAGGTGTTCAAGTCAACAAACAGTTCATTTCATCAGTCTGAGACATACATCTCACCTTTCAAGGCTGCCTGTTCAGCTTGTGTATACATTCCCAGAAAGAAGTAGGTACACGCAAGGTTCACCCAAACATCAGGATTGCAAGATGGTTGTTTGGTCAAGGCCTCATATTCCTGGAAAAGAAGTGTTTTTTCTGGTGGTTTTTTTCCTTCATTTAATAGCATACAAATTATTCAGCTCACCCAATTTATTGCCAAGTTCATCATCACTCTTACAACTGAACTATTACATTTTAACCAAAGATACATTCAGCAGCTTCTTTTTGTTTATGAAAGTGAAAGAATCAGTGGGGATAAGCAGTACTAAAAATCATCACTGCAGCAATTCTGTCAATGCTTTAACAGTTACAAAATCATTGAGATAACAAGCTTTTCCTCGGTCTTTTCCAATGCTTTCCTAACTCACTGAGTCAGAGGAAGTCATAAAAATCATGGAAATCTCTTTATAATTACTTATTGGAGTGTTAAATATCCTGTTATAAATCTGCATGTAGTGTCTTTGTATAGATTAAAACAGTGGACTCCGAAGAGACAGTATATGCAAGGCAATCCAAAGAGGTGTATCAAGAAATTCTTTTATTTTATTTTAAGCTTTTATTTTATTTACCAGTGGCACAAAAATATAAAAGTGTTTATTACAACTTCAGCATGTATAGTTTATAAATAAATACTCATATGTTGCAGGTGTGTGCTCAAAAAATTCTACTGATAGAGATGCACTATTCAAATGTTTTGAGATGCTGCATTAAAATACAAGCCCAGAAGTCAGTCTTGGTCACGTTCAAGTCTGCCATATACACAAAAATATAACTATAGCAAATATTACTAAATTGTGCCTAACTTCACTGTTTCTCATGTTAAGATTTACACCCAAGCTACCAAAATCCACTGAACACCATATTCTGATATTTTGCACACTTCCACATTCATTACATAACCCTTAATAATAATAATACATAAAGTATTCTCTCTTGTTATTTGTGGAGGGAAAAAAGTAAAACCCAACAGACAAAACTTTCAATCTGTTCTTTTAATGAAGCAAGAAACTCTGCAGCTATATTCAGCAGCAATATTCCTGAAGACATACATCTTTGCTCTGCACAACACTAGCTAATTAAAACACAGGCACGGAGGAGATCCCTCAATGCCATTTTTTCCTCTTCAAGGCTCTATTAAATTACTCAGAAGGACCTTCCTAGTGAACGTGCCCCCTGCTTGCATTCCTCCTCCTCATCCCATGTCCATCCTCCAGCATAAGGCAAAAGCAGGCCAGGTTAAGCAAGATTCTCACAGGACTTGTTCAATGAACACTATCCCTCAACCAGCAGAAGCCTCTCATCTCTCTCAACATACCCCATTGCTAACTCTGTATTCTTCCTCCAACCGTACGAACTGAAATTTCTCCCTTCCTGGTGAATTTACCACATTGCACCATGGAAGTCTTCTTCCCGTGGGGGAAAGGCACAGATATAGGTATCAATCACAAGAGAAACTATGTCCAAAGGGCAGCAAATTCCAAGAACAGACACATGCTGACAACAACAAAGTTTATAGTTGCTAGTAAAAATATTTTTTTCTCCTGCCACATGAAAGCAAATTGCACTCTCAACCACAGAAGCTATTGGTAACGTATGCTTTTGAAAGCCAGCCCAGTCTTGCTAGTATTCTAGTGACTAACTGTCCTCAAAAACTGTCCTTTTAAAAAATAATAAATTGATTGATTAAAAAAAAACAAAAAACCCAAAAAAAAAACAACAAGCAACCAACAACAACAAAGAAAACATTTACATATAGGCTGACGTTCCCTACTGAGGCCAGTTCAGTCTTGACACAGGCCTGTGATGGAGCTCTGAGACAGGCTACTGTTCTTTTTTGGGACCATCTGGAATCCTTAAAAATTCATTCAAATTAAGTGCACCCAAAGGTCTCTTTTGGTTATGGCTTCAGGCAGATTAATTAGAAGGCACAAAGTGCATAAACACAAGTCATATTCTGGCCTGGCCATTCAGGACGTGCAATAAATAAGGAGTGCTGTAGCATTACTAATGTGAATCTGTGAATACACAGTAAATAAAAATGAGGACTGTTAGCCCGTCCTACCACATAGTTCTGGGCCATGAGCCCAAGCTACGTGGGGCTGTTGCCCCTTTACTCAGTAAAAGGCATTCAGCATTACAGTCTCTCAAAGACTTTTCACAAGAGCTTTTCCCCTTCCTCACCCAAAACAAAACAAAACCCGCAAGAAACCCACAAAAAAATAAAATAAAAAAAAGCAAAATACAAGTCTTTCCAATAGCCACCCACCCTGTGGCACACTTTTGCCAACCAAGGGCTTGACAGCTTCATGCTTTTTCACTCTCCTCCACCTCTCATCCTATCTAAAGGCATACACACAGCCTTCTAAAGAAGCAGGTTGATAGGTTGATTGCCTAAGGCTACAGACACCTACTGACTGCACCTACCAACAACACTGAGGGCACTGAATAGAATCCTGCTGACCTCATTAATTGTCAAGATTCTCCAAGCTCATAAACAAAGGTTCTGCAAAGATGCCAAATGGGCCGATGTACAGGGCTGCCTCACAAGTGTTCAAAGGAAGCATGGAGATACTTGATTCCTGACTACAGTCATGACAAAGAAGCACATAAAACTGAGAACCAAAATTCCATATTTTTCTTTCTAGCTTCAGCTGTCAGAAGCTGGAGCATTTATATATTCTCATGCCCTCAAGACTAGATATTGCTCATGCACGAACCACTACCCCGGTATAGCTCTGTTCCTTTCACGCTTCACTATTTAATTCAGGCAGATCAGGGTAGGTAGGAGGTCCTCACCCTTACCCAGGAGGTAAGCAGTTCCCGATTCTCTGCTGAAAGGAAGGCAACAGGCAGGAGAGCCTGCCAGAATCCCTGGGTGATGAGTGATGGCAGACGGACAGACGTGCGGGGGGTTGAAGTTGGTAAAAGAGAAAGAAATCTCCACAAAACTAATTAGATCCTCCCATCAACTTGGGGAGTCCCAATTGCCATACGGTGCCAAGAAGACACTTATCTGCCTACTGTTAATAGAAATTGATTTATAAGTGAGTAGGAAGCCCTCAGGGACTGCCACTGTGACTGCTGGAAGGTTTCAGAGTGGTGCCATTTGTAAAGTAGTACACAGCAGCAGTGATGATCCCAGACCAATGTTGGTGGTATATCCTTTGAGAAAGGCACCTACCTACTAAGAAGTGTGAATCTAGTCAGGGTAGAGCTCTGCCTAGAGACTGTTGGTACGTCTACAGTAAGAGAACTTGAATGTGCTGATTATATTGCTGTAATTCACCCTAAAGATACTCTTGGATTTGCAGGTCTATCTGATTTTCACTTTTTCCCCCACCTCTCCTTGTGGATGACGATGGCTACTTCACCTCAGTTGCCAAGACTCTCCAAGAGGTGGCATGCAGCCAGCATGACCTAACTCACCATGAAAATCTCATCATAAATGAAAGGATTACAGAGCAGAATTTCATCAGGTGTAAAGAATACCAACCACAAATTAGGAATATAATGACAGAGACAACAGATACATTGCCACTTGCAGGCACTTAGGACTGCGGGTTATTTAGACTTTGTGTAATGTCACTCTGTTTAATTCTGGAGAATTTTCTACCCACAGTATTTCATTTATCATGGTCTCAGCATGTCCCAAAGAGATCTAGAGATTATAGAGAATCAAGGAATTTGTCCTTGAGAATACATCAACAACACTTCTATAATATAGCAGTGAAGATAGATGCTGCATGTACTTCATCCTTGGCACTGATAACTGAAAAGGAATTCAACCTACATAGTATAGTCAATGCTTTCCCTTGATCACTGCAATGTTTGGAATTATACAGTGTTCTGACCCAAAAGAAACTAGACTGAGATACACAGGCTCATTTCCCACATGCTACCAGAGCAACAAAGGTATCAGGATTCATTACTCTGCCAAAAAATCAGTCTTAAAGTGGGAAACTGTGATCTCTCACTTTAAAAGGTGTCTATACGTGGTTTGTGGTTTTTTTTGTTTTGTTTTTTGGTTTTTTTTTTTTGTGTGTGTGTGTATTTGTTTTTTCCCTACCAGGGCAAACAGACAGAAAAACAGACTGGGTTGTAGATTTTAAAAGCCTGAATCAACAGCATCATCTAGTGGTGAACTGAATACAGCTCACAAAATCTAGTATCTATATATATACAAACAACACTGCTATTCTTTTGCTGAAACTCTAAAAACCTACTCTGGCCATATAAGCACCTAGTGGACATTCCAAAGAGCAGAGCTCATTTCATAATTAATCCTGACCTATTATTTTATACAAACATTTTTTCTTCTTTTTAAACTTTCACTCCTTATTAACACCTCGACATCCAGATATCACAGAATCACAGAATCACAGAATCACCTGGGTTGGAAGGGACCTCAAGGATCATGTAGTTCCAACCCCTCTGCCTAGCAGGGCCACCAAACATCCACATTCAGATCAGGTTGCCCAGGACCCCGTCCAACCTGGCCTTGAACACATCCAAGGATGGGGCATCCACAACCTCCCTGGGCAGCCCGTTCCAGGGCCTAACCACTCTCCTTGTGAAGAACTTCCCCCTAACATCCAACCTAAATCTTTCCTCCTTCAACTTTGATCCATTTCCCCTAGTCCTGCTGTTGTCAGCCCTTCTGAAGAGTTTACTCCCCTCCTGGGTGTAGGTTCCCTTCAGGTATTGATAGGCTGCAATGAGGTCGCCCCGCAGCCTTCTCTTCTCCAGGCTGAACAAGCCCAACTCCCTCAGCCTGTCCTCATAGGGAAGGTGCTCCAGCCCCCTGATCATCTTAGTCGCCCTCCTCTGGACCCTTTCCAAGATCTCTATGTCTTTCTTGTACTGAGGGCTCCACACCTGGACACAGTACTCCAGGTGGGGCCTCACAAGAGCCGAGTAGAGAGGGACAATCACCTCCCTCTCCCTGCTGACCACCCCTCTCCTGATGGAGCCCAGGATCCCATTTGCCTTTCGAGCTGCCAGAGCGCACTGCTGGCTCATGTTAAGTCTCTCGTCCATCAGGACCCCGAGGTCCTTCTCTGCCGAGCTGCTCTCAAGGACCACTCCTCCCAGCCTGTACGGGTGCCTGGGATTCTTCCGGCCCAAATGCAAAACCTTGCACTTTGCCGTGTTGAACCTCATTAGGTTCACCCGAGCCCAGCCCTCAAGCCTGTCGAGGTCCCTCTGAATGGCATCCCTTCCTTCCGCCGTATCAACCGCACCACTCAGCTTGGTGTCGTCAGCAAACTTGCTGAGGGTGCACTCAATTCCCTCATCGATGTCATTAATAAAGATGTTAAAGAGCACCGGTCCCAAGACAGACCCTTGGGGGACACCACTTGTTACCGGCCTCCACCTGGACATAGAGCCATTGACCACCACCCTCTGTCTGCGGCCTTTCAACCAATTGCTTATCCATCGGGTCGTCCACCCATCAAATCCACTTCCCTCCAATTTGGAGATGAGGATGTGGTGGGGGACCATGTCAAAGGCCTTGCTCAGGTCCAGGTAAATGACATCGGTCGCCTTCCCTTCGTCCACCAATGCCGTCACTCCATCATAGAAGGCCACAAGATTAGTCAGGCATGACCTTCCCTTGGTGAAGCCGTGCTGGCTGTCTCGGATCACGTGCTCATTCTTTATGTGATCGAGCATGTTGTCCAGGAGGAAAATTTAGTGAATTTAGTAAATTTAGTGAAGCAACTGTTACATTCATAATCTTTAAATGACACAACTCTGAATGTGAATATTAAATTACCACTATGTTCTAAACTGCTGTTCTCCACTTTGTGCGATGTGTACTGTCAAGCTGAATGACATCAAACAGCTCTAACTTCTCCCAACAGATGTCTGTTATTTTTTAGGCGAGGGGAATATGTCTTTTGAACTTGGAGGCCTGAGAAATTCTGTTTCTGCCTCACATCATTTTTGTGCCTTACTCTAATGCTGTAGGTGAGACAGCTAGGGAGCACACAGCAGAGACAACGGAAAGAGACAGCCCTGTGAATCCCAGGCAGTTTTATCTGCCTCAGAATAGAAAATTGAAACAGAATAATGAAGTCTTCTGGGAGCTGTAGTTCATTCTTCTCTTCTGGGATTAGGTTTCCAAAACTACTGACAATCTGTGGAACTGCAGCATTAACTCTTTTAACTCCCAGCTCCCTACATGATGTTATGATGTGGAATATCAATTACAAAAATCATAAAACCATGACAGTGCTCCATGGTCTTCAAACTGGTATGGGACCTGGCATCACTGTGATGCAAGAGAAAGGTTGTCTTCCTCTTTGGCCTGACTCTAAGCTCAAGCCTTCAGCTTAGTCAGCATTGCAGTGTAGCATTCAGAGTTGATTTGTTCAAGTTTGTTCAAGTTCCAGGAAATTCAGAAGGATCATCTCTTTCCTATCCCAAAAGACAGTGCACATCACTTTACCTGCTGAGGGCTGCATTTTGGAACTTGTTTGATGGGAAATTCATATGTTGCCACTCCATGAACTGTTTTGACTCTGACTCGCAGTGTCACAGTGGTGACACCATGTCTCATCACCAGTAGCGATGTGATCCAGGAAACTGTCACCAACAGCCTCATATTGTTCAGTAGGTCCTGACAAACATTCATGTGGTGCTTTTTCTCGTCTTAGCGTTCATGGAACCCATCTGGAAGAAACTTTCTGGTATTCCAACATTGCCACCATTGTTTCCAACACACTGAAGTTGATATTCAGCTCCATACACAATTCCCTGGTTGTGATCCACTGATTCACGTTGTTGAGCTAATTGAGACTCTCTTCATTTTGTGGTGTGAGATCTGTGTGGTTATCTGGAACATGTCTTGTCTTTCATGTCACAGTTGCCACTGCTGCACCACCCACTGCCTTGCTGTGCTCACATCCACTGTTTGATCTCATAAATGATCAGCAAGCATCATTAAATGCCAATAGATGCCATTTTTTTCTGCACGGAGGAATTCAGTGATACGCCTTTTCTTCATAAGCACTTCCATGCCAGATATCATTTTGTTAGACTACCTCTATGCTGCCATCCATCTCACAGTGACAAAATCTAACAGAATAGTGGCAGGAAGGTTCAACCTCTACTGCCATACCACCTCCATCTGCCTCTAACATTGTGGGCCAACATAATAAAATGCGAGGCATTACTTTCAGAGTAGACCCTGTATATTTATTTTTAAAAAAAGATAATTTCTCCCAGAGCAGGCAAATTAAAAGGCTGAAATGTTTTCTCAGACCACAACTACACTTCACAGCAAGTTGTGATGGAGTTCTCCTCCCAGATGATACTGACCAAAACTAATAAGCCTTAAATGGTGTAATACAGCATTCTAAGGATCCAGCAATTCACATCAGTAGGAATGCAGCAATGGAAAAAACACTACTCAGGCAGACTGAGTTTTTTCCAAATCTTCACTTGCTCATCTGCAGCCTTTTGAATATCACCAAACAAGTCTCCACATTACTCTCTGATCAAGAGTGCACACCGATTCCATCCCTTGGAATTACACAGCAAAATCTTGTTCAGATTTCTACAGTAGAATATGTTAGCACAATTAAGAAAAGAAATCCAGTGACACTGGCAATGAACTGATTGGCAACAAGTTTCACAGGAGGCATAAATGGACACAAGAGAAAAACTTACATACACAAAAAGTGACACAACACACACACACACACAAAAAAGTGACACAACAGCACTGTATGGTGCAAATATTGCTAACTTAGGCATACTTGAATAATCAGTGTGCCTCTTAGTGACTTAAAACATTTGGAGAATGTCTTATTGCAGGGAATTACCCAACGTAAGACAACACACTGAAAAATAATAAATACATTAAATGGTCAAGGTCATCAACTTCTAAAGAGGGTCAAAAAGCATGTATATTATGTATTAGGAACACAATGAAAACTAAAGCATAATGAAATCTGAAAAACTGAAAATCTGACACTGTGGAAAGTTAACTGCAAGAATGGAATGGAAAAACTTCTCAGGAAGAGCAGTGCAGCAGTGGCACAGGCTGCCCAGGGAGGTGGTGGAGTCACCATCCCTGGAGGTATTCCAGAACCGTGTGGATGTGGCACTGAGGAATGTGGTCAGTGGGCATGGTGAGGATGGGCTGGCGGTTGGATTAGGTATCTTAGTGGTCTTTTCCAACCTTAACGATTTTGTCATTACCATGTCTCTAACTGGACTGGCTGGCAGAAGCGTTCCCTATCACAGAACACCTTCCCGCTGTTGCCATCCCTGTGGCAGAGCCCCAGTTCCCCATCTCACCTCCAGAGCTCTCTTGTAGTCACCCAGATGGAAGGCAGAGTACCCGATCCAGAGCTCAGCATCCTCCTGCTGCTCACCCGCGTGTCGCTGAAACTTCGGAGGGAAGAGCGAATGTGAGACCGCCGTCAGCAGTCACGCACAGTTTATAAACACCAGTAAAGCAACACCATGCCCATTAATACCGCGGGCAGTCTGACGGCTGTGGATGCCGTTGGGTGAAGCCGCTCTCGGTTCCCAGGGAAGCAGCAGGCCCCGGCCCGCTCCCGTTACCTCCAGCAAGGCGATGGCGCCGGTGAAGTCCCTCCCGGCCAGCAGCTCCTCCAGCTGGGGCACCTTCTTCCCTTTCCTCCTCCGTCTGTCTCCCTGCGGCGGGGTGCTTCCCACAGCCGGCTTGGCCCGGGAGAGCATCTGGGCAGAGAGCAGAGCGGAGCCGGCTCAGAGCGGGGCCCCGGAGCGGGGCCGCTCCGCCCGGAGCGGGAGGGAGCGGGAAAGGAGCGCCTGCTCGACCCGCGGCCCGCGGCCCGCGCCCCCCGCCCGGCCCCTCTCACCATCCTGCCGCCGGGCCCGCGCTCCCCGCGCCGCCGATGGCGCCGTTGCCGCGGTAACCGTGGGACGGCGGAAGAAGGCGCGGAGCCCAGCGATGCGGCCAATAGGCGCCGCGCGCAGACGGGCGCCGTCCCCCGGAAGGGCTGAGCCTTGGCTCCGCTGAGCACCGGTGGGCTCCAATCATCGCACGCGAGAGGAGGCGCTTCTGGAGTGTCTCTTGGTTGTCCGGCTCTTGGCTGTTCCCGCGGCCCGACTGACGAGGTGCGGGGCGCGGCCAGAGAAGTGCGCTGGCCTTCTGGTTCCCATATTGGTTTCTCACCAAATCACTTTGATTGCTACCTTTTCCCCACCGCTGGTCCTTCTCCACAACATCCCATAATGCATGAATGTCCAACCTTTTGGCTCGCCTGGGCCACAATGAGTGAAGAGTTGCTTTGGGCCACATGTGTGAATGGCATGCAGCTGTTTCCTTGCTGCTGAGCAATAGGTGCGCACCCACACGCAGCCCACGGGTTGGGCATGCCTGCCATAACAACTCTTGTGCAATCCCCACACGTTCTTCTATGACATCTCATGATGAGTTTCATATGCTTGTAGTCCGTAGCTGCTCCAGAGAACTTCTGCCATGGATCTTGACTCTCTTAGGGCAGCCTGGGAGGAGCTAAGTTAAGGTGGTGGGTTACTGGGGTTGTTCACTGGTTCGTCTGTGCTTCTTCGGTTTCATGCTGATGAACCTTTCATCACATAACCTTACACCAGCCAATGGTGGTGCGAGAGGCTGATATCTGCTTCTCTGTGATGCTTTATGAGGGCTGATCCAAAAGTGACTCTTCCTATTTTATTATGTTGACCCACTACATCAGAGGCAAATGATCATGGTATGGCAGTAGAGGCTGAACCTTCCCACCAAAATTCCATTGCATTTTGTTGCCGTGCGATGAAAGACAGTAGAGGTGCAGTCTGACAAAATGGTGTCTGACGTGGAAGCATGTATGAAGCAAAGGTGTGTTACACCCACACAGAAAAAATGGCACTTACTGATATTTATCAATGAATGCTGAACATTTATGGAGACCAAACAGTGCATGTGAGCATAGCAAGGCAGCGAGTCGTGCATTTCATCAGCAATATGAAAAACAAGCCAAGTTGGGGTGGACATGCAGATTTTTATGACCACAGCATAGAGGCTCTTGTTCATCTCTGGTGAAAGTGCATCACTAACGGTGCATTTACACAATGCATGCAGCATGGGCAACAAACAGGAGGAGCAAGAAGCCATGGTGTGACCGGAGTACTGTGACTTAGTCATCATTACTAAGATTCTCATGACTGGAATGCTACAATGGATGGCTCTTTAGGAGATATAGGTAAGGAGGGAAAGGTGGTGGGATGACTCTCTATGTGTTTTGATGTTGTAGATCTCAATGCTGGGAATGATAATATTGAGTACTTATGGGTGAGGATCAGAGGGAAGGCCAACAAGGCTGGCATCCTGGTGGAAGTCTGTTACAGACCTCCCAACCAGGATGAAGAGACAGATGAAGCATCCTATAAGCAGCTGTCCAAAGAAGGACTTCAAAGCTGGTGAAGAATCTGGATCACATGTCTTAAAAGGAGCGGCTGAGGGAACTGGGATTGTGCAGTCTGGAGAAGAGGAGGCTCAGGGAAGACCTTATCACTCCCTACAGTGAAGGAGGTTGTAACAAGGTGGGGTTGGCCTATTATCCCAGGTAACTAGCAATAGGCAAGAGATATTGATTTAAAGTTGTACCGGGGAGGTTCAGGTTGGATAATTGGAAAAATCTGTTGTCAGAAAGAGTGATGATGCATTTCCCAGGGAGCTGGTGGAATCACTATCCCTGGAGGTGTTTCAGAACTATGTGGATGTGGTTTAGTGGGTATGGTGGGGATAGGTTGATGGTTGAACTGGATGATGGGCTCTTATCCAACCTTAAGAATTTATGATTCTCTGGCAGTGACTATGTTGAAAAATAGTGTTGTAGCTGAGAATTTGCTCTATCAAATAGTGTCATTGTACTCTTTATAACTGTTGTAGTTTCCATGCAAATAAATAGAAGGCCTTACTTTCAAAGCAACCTGTGTAGATAGGAAAGGATGAAGGAATCAGAAAAAGATACTTTTCTGTTGCTAAAATTCTCCCACCTGATCAGTTTCACCAGTCAGGGAGACACTGAGCAACACTGGTGTCCCAAGGTGGGACACCAGCATAGATGGAGCTTTGGACTCACCCAGAAGGTCTTTTCATGTCCTCCAATCAGTAATCACTCTTTGCTGGATTGCTGCTTGTAGTGTACTGCTGTTAGGATGCTGCTTAGTCAGCAGATGATACTGCGTATGTGTTTATAGTTTCCTGGTAAACATAGCCACTCCATCTATATTACTCTAAACACAAACATGAAGAGTATAATATTAAATGTTAGATAAGCATGTTGTGTACATTTTAACAGCATACAATAGCCCATCCCTCTGGCAAATCCTGGGTAATTTTCAAGTACAGTTGTGACCTTGTTTCTTGTAGCAACTCTGACATTGCAGTTTGCTGCAAAGAGAACAAATCCCTTCTACTTAGAGAAGAACTCCACACAATAGAATTTCCAAAACATTAATTTTTATGCTGTCTTAATTGCACCACTAGCAATTCCAGTAAGGAGAAGCAATACATTACTCTGATGTTGACAACTACCCTGAAAACACATGTCCACGGGAGATTTAATGAAGCACCTGTACTCTTGGCATTTCTGTTTCCTTGAGAATAAAAAATATTTTGCATTTCCTCAGATAGAGAGAGGGCTTTTGTTGCCATTTGTTTGTTTTGTTACAAATAAATAGGCCTGTTTGTAACACTATTCAGCAATAAAGAATAAACTGCTCAGTTCCTCAGAGGATGCAACCCATGTTCACATTCTCCTGGTCACTTCAAGCCAGCTTGGCCCTGGAACAACACAGAGTGTTGCAGGTGTCCCTGAGAGGTTACACTGCAACCAGGAACCTTGGGAGCACAACAGAACTGTGACAATGTGCCTTGTTTATGAATGTGCTTTCATACAATAGTCTATAAAGAAAGGGAAGTAATCTACACTCCAATAGAGGATTTATCTCCAAGCAATTAATTTCAAGTTAGTCAATCAAAGTGATAAGGAGTGTGTGCCAGTGATTTGGCCTCCTTTACCAGCTCCACCTTCCCTCCCTCCCTCCCTCCCTCCCTTCACACAGAATCACACAGAATTGTAGGGGTTGGATCCAGAGATCGTGTCCAACCCCCCTGCCAAAGCAGGTTCCCTACAGCAGGTCGCACAGGTGGGCATCCAGGCAGGTCTTGAACATCTCCAGAGAAGGAGACTCCCCCACCTCCCTGGGCAGCCTGTTCCAGTGCTCCGTCACCTCACTGTAAAGAAGTTCTTGTGCACATTTGTGCAGAACTTCCTGTGCTGCAGTTTCCAGCCGTTTCCCCTTGTCCTGTCTCCACTCACCACTGAAAACAGTCCGGCCTCGCCATTCAGCCCCCCACACCTTAGATATTTATAGACCTGGATCAGGTCCCCTCTCAGTCTTCTTTTCTCAAGGCTGAACAGACCCAGATCACTCAGCCTTTCCTCATAGCAGAGATGCTCCAGGCCCTTCACCATCTTCGTGGCCCTCCGCTGGACTCTTTCCAAGAGATCCTTGTCTTTTTTGTACTGGGGAGCCCAGAACTGGACGCAGTACTCCAGATGAGGCCTTACCAGGGCAGAGTAGAGGGGGAGGATCACCTCCCTCGACCTGCTGGCCATGCTCTTTTTAATGCACCCCGGGATGCCATTGGCCCTCTTGGCCAGAAGGGCACACTGCTGGCTCATGGCCAACCTGTCGTCCACCAGGACACCCAGGTCCCTCTCTGCAGAGCTCCCCTCCAGCAGGTCATCCCCCAACCTGTACTAGTGCATGCAATTATTCCTCCCCAGATGCAAGACTCTACACTTGCTTTTGTTAAACCTCATCCGGTTTTTTTTGCCCAGCTCTGCAGCCTGTCCAGGTCTCGTTGAATGGCAGCACAGCCTTCAAGCGTGTCAGCCAATCTCCCCAACTTCGTACCATCAGCAAACTTGCTGAGGGTGGCCATTATCCCCTCATCAAGGTCATTGATGAAGATGTTGAACAAGACCGGACCCAGCACAGACCCCTGAGGAACACCGCTGCTTACAGGCCTCCAACCGGACTCTGCACCACCAACAACGACCCTCTGTGCTCTGCCAGTCAGCCAGTTCTCAACCCACCTCACTGTCCTCTCATCTATCCCACACTTCCTCAGCTTTGTTATAAGGATGTCGTGGGGGACAGTATCAAATGCCTTGCTGTAATCAAGGTAGACTACATCCACTGCTCTCCCCCCATCCACCCAGCCAGAGACAACATCATAGAAGGCTACCAGGTTGGTCAAGCACGACCTCCCCCTGGTGAACCTGCGCTGACTACTGATAATCTCCTCTTCTTCCAGTTGTCTGGAGATGACATCCAGCACAAGCTGTTCCATCACCTTTCCAGGGACAGAGGTGAGGCTGACTGGCCTTCCTTCCTTCCTTCCTTCCTTCCTTCCTGCCTTCCTGCCTTCCTGCCTTCCTGCCTTCCTGCCTTCCTGCCTTCCTCCCTTCCTCCCTTCCTTCCTTCCTCTCTTCCTCTTTTCCTCTCTTCCTCTCTCTTTCTTTCAGTAAGCCATTACGTTTGTTAAGAGAAAATTCATTTTCTATAAATAGATACGAAAGTATTTGTCTCTTCAGCATTTGGATTTTGTCTTTTTTTGATGTTGTTCACTTTTTATATATAAACTAATACAATACACGTATCTGTTCTCTTATCAGTTGTGTAGGAGTTTCTGTTATGGAACAGAAAATAATTGTTCTGCAGGCCAGAAAGCTTAGCATGTGTAAGAGCCTCCTTATCAAAACCCTATGAAATCACAATAACCATATAGATTGACAGCAGTACTGTAAGATTCCTTTTTCCTCTTGGATCTGAAACGATGCTTCGGAAGTGCTTCATTCCTAACTAAAAGAAAATAATAACTTTTGTGAATACCTCACTGCACCTTTCAGTACTGCCATGGAATATTCTGACTCCACACAGACAGCTAGGAGAAATTAAGATCTAAGGTTTTAAGGGCTTTTTAGCATACAGATGCCTAAGAAAACTGATTAAAGAAACAGAAGAAGTGGAAATGTCACTGCGGGAGGAATTTTATGTGAAATGCAAAATCAGATAGGAGACCTTCTAACCTTAACTGTGCTTTAGTTAAGGTAATTC